TGACAAGGCTGAATAAGTACCAGAAGTGGAACTATAAAGGACAGACCAGAAGAATGATCTGGAAAAGGATGCTTTATTGGCTACAAAAGAAAATGGATGAAGTTTTATCAATTAAAGGGAAAATACTAATCACAACCAAGGGAACTACGTGAAAAATGTTTTCTTATTGGCTTTACAAAAAGTTGATGTTTTATGGACTTTCTTATAGATAGGGGAAGGTTTGTAATCTTACAGGGGATGAAGAGTTGGCTATTCTTGTTATAAGGGTGGTTGGAAATCACTTCTTTATACGGTATATTTATCTTTTTATCATTTATTTTCTTTCTCTTTCTTGCAATTTTTATTGTTTACTACACTTTTTGCTTTAAGTTTAGTTTGTATTAGTTTTTACTACTGTATGTTGCCCAAAGTCATTTATCATCAATTAGGTTACATAAATTTAATTAATCAATCAATCAAAATTCCTCTTTTTTAAAAAATATCTAAATATGTCAATCAGCTAAAAGAATAAGAGGCATCTGCATATTATTCTGGAAAGGGATTATGAGAATTGTTGTCTGGGTGAAACAATTTATACAGTGAGCTCTTGATTCAAAAGCTTTATTGTAAGAGATTAAAAAAACAAATTTAATAGTTGCTCCATATTTCTTGTATTGAGTATGAATGAATAGGATGATTGGCTGCTGCTGAACTTTCTACTTTTATTTATTCAGCGTACCACATAGGCAGAGGACAATAAGGTCGTATAGGCAGATCTCTTGTCACCAAGTTTTGTGTTATTTATTTGCCCTGGATCCACCAATTTTTTAATATAGTCAATATGTAGCATATATTTCTTTCAGTGTAATCTAAGTAATGCAAAGTCTCATGGAAGCACAGATTCACATCTGGCAGCTGGGCTAATGCCACTTTGAATATGGCTCAAACCTGAAATAAAATCATATTTTGCCCTTTGATTCTACATATGTTCCTCTTATTTTAAAAAAAACTACTAATGGGTATACCTTAACAAGTAAAACTGGGAACCAATGTAAACCTTAACCAATTAGACAAAGAAAATGAAAAAAAATCTTCAAAACCAAGGGTACTTTGATTAGCTTACAAAATGACTTGACATTTTCATATGAGAGAAATCAAGAACTTAGAAACATAAATAAGAACTTGCTTTCTTCAGCAAAATAGTTTCACTGAACTGTGGTGCAAAACTCCTAAGCCAAATGATCCTCATAACAAGCATTTCGCCAGGTAACACAGCTACATTACTTTTGTTCTGAACATAGTTGAAAGCTGATGTTACCAAGGAAGCTAGGATCTTTATTTTGTTTGCACCAAAATTCTGCAAAAATATTAAAACACATTCATAAATAGTACAGTCCCCCTTAAGCTTAACTCCTAGTGAATATAAGGGCATATTGGTATTGGCAACAATATGGAAATGGTTTGCCATTCTCTTCTTGCAGGATGTTTTATTGACTTCCCAAACTAGCCTTCAACCCTGAGAATGTCTGCTGATCTTCCATCCAAATATTAGGCAAATCTAACCCTTCTTAATTTTTTTCAAAATTAGTCATATTTGACTAGGTGCTGCCACAATAATAAAGCATCAGAAGATCAAGAGATTTAGCTAAAAGATTGGGAATGTAATGGCAACAGATGCTTATCACCCTTGGGATTTGTAGAATCTCTCTCTCTCTCTCTCTCTCTCACACACACACACACACACACACACACACACACACAAACTTTCATTTTATTATCCACCATAAGCCAGCAAAAGTACAGGGTACTGTCCAAGAAAATTTGGTTATTTTCTATATATTTAGTTCCTGTAATCTGTTCAGAGTATTTTTGACATTTTGACACACCCAATAGTTCAGGTGCTAAAGAGTCCAACAGGCAAAATATCTCTAAGAAGTCAATTTTAGAAGGTATTTCTGAAGCTCTGGTATATAACCAAAGGGGGGGAAATGTCTATATAGAAATGGCAGATGCATTAATAGGATTTTTTAATAGTAGCCTATGCAGAGTTCTGCATCCTTCCCTATTGAAAACCCCACACCATCTGCATCAGGCTTGGAAACAAACAAGGTATTCATACATCAGCTTTAATCTTTTATTCTTGCTTGTTGCTTAAGCGTATCCTCCCGTTTGTTGCAAGAAATAAATCCCTAATGTACATAGCTGTTGCGAAGCTAAAGTTTTAATCATCCATTAGCAGAAAATGATACCAGTATGAAAAATGCTTCTCCACTGCTGATCCCTATCTTGCCTTTATGGTCTCTATTCTGACTCACTGCCAATGGTGCTGTCCTGATTTTGCTTGTGCAGTGAGTGATAAACAGCAGCTGGTTGATTCCTCCAGTATTGCTGACCTCCTTGTTCTGAACATCAAACATGTCACTGCAGGAGGAATGGTTGCAGATCTGGATATAGGACTTTGCCTATCTTCTCTAGCTTCCTTTTCTTCCTGTATCCCATTCTATAGGTACCCAAATGGAGCACAGTAACTAAAACAAAACAAAAACTCAACAGTTTGGAGTTACAAAGAAAGCTGAATCACAAAGAACAATTCTGATTATGACGTCCCTCCCTTTTGTTTTTCTTCCTTTATACAGGCATGATCACTTCCAGATGCACATGCTCTATTCAAAAAGTAAGGATGGGGGAGTTCTATCATTTAGGCCTGTTCTACTATTTCAAACTTTGGCAAATAAGTCAGTTCCTTAAGGAAACAATAGGAAAATTGAAACAGATAAGAACGCTCAGGAATCATTCAGAAGGGAGCCTGAAACATCAGCCTGAAACAGTCCACAAGTAGCTTTCTGATTTTACCTACCACTGGCCACTCCATAGGGTTTATGAAATACTTTTAACACTGGTAAAACTAAGGATGACTCAATCCTTACTCATGAAGTAGGTTGAGATGAAAGCAATGTGGGAGGGGGAAAGGATGTAAGTTTATACTGTGATTAAGTATACATAGAGAAAGATGGCAGATTGAGTCTTTTTCCTAAGGCCTTTGCCAGAGCCTCCCATTTTATTTTGATTGTCTTTACTGAGCCATTTAGGATGCAACAATGCTGTTAATTTTAGCAAGGATAACCTGGTAAGCAGCCTAATCTATAAATAGTACTGTCCTGGAATGTTTTAAGAAATTATCCAAAGCCCCAGCAACTTTCTAGCTCCAAATACTTGAGGTCCGAATGGCACAATTAAGACAATTTTTTGTTTTAAGCTAAGGGTAGAGAGAAATATTATGCGACTCCATTGTGTAATTTGTTCCTATTTATACAGTTTTGGGGTTAAAGTACATGTTAAAAATTAGAGAACAGATTTCCTTATTTCCATATATCATTTCAGAATTTGTAGGGAGAGTTTTTAGATTACTTTTTTATATTACTAATTATAAGTTGGTAAATACCAGTTTTGTCTCTTTTTCCCTGCTCTTTAAAAGAGATTAGAAAAAAGTAAAAAAATATTTGTACCACTTTTCCAGTACCTATTCCTTCTTTCATTTCTGTTGTTTTTAGGGATCAATAGAAAAACATGCGAGGAAAGTAAGATAGTGGTTTCTTCTACTTTCTGTATCGTTCTCTGAATCCACTATGCTATAGGCAGAGCATTCATACAGCTGCCTCTCTCTGCTTAATATGCAATGTAGCAAAAGGTATCTCATTCCTGCATTTACTCATCTGTGCCTCTGAACGGTGTTACAGTGGGAAGTAGTAAAGACATTTAATAAATTATTATCCAAACATCAGTCTCTGGAAAACCCAGTGACATGCTGTTGCCCACTGATCTTTTAAAGAACAGACCTTTTATTCACTTCCAATTTGTACTCTCTTGCTCTCTCCAACTATACCTGCTAAAATCAAAATTCTCTTTTCCTGACCAACCATCTAGCAAAGACAGCAAACAAGCAGATACAGGCAACAACTTCTTTCACTTTGAGAAATAATCAATACAAATCTTGCAGACAATCCTAAACCATTTTGTTCTAAGGCTCCAGGACCTGTCTGCCAAAATTGCAAAACATATGCCTCTGAATTTAGCCAGGAAAAGAAAAGGCATCCTTAGCTTTGAAAGTAATAGCACATTTAAAATTATTTGCAACGGCAGGATTCACACAGTACACCAAACTAGTGGTCTCCAAACTTTTCTCTTATGCAGATCACTTGCATTATTGAACGCTTCTGTGAATTGAATATTTAACTCCCTATATGGACAACACTAATTACTGCTTCTTCCCAAACCATCTATCAGGGGTGGCTTTTAGCCCTGAGAGAGAATCAGTCAGAGGTCTACATGAAGTCCTCCAGCTGTGATATCACCACCTTTTCCACACAAACAAGATACTACAGAGCCTACATATTCAAGACAAGGCACAACTTCACAGATCGCTTTTTTTTAATCACCAGGCAATCTCAGAAGTTTAAAATAAATTCAATAATCTGAACTTCAACTAGATGGCCAAGAGGAAGTTTCCCCGTATATTTTTACAATCATCCGGATTTTTGCAGCCAGTTTTGGGGACTAGCCCAGGATCCAAATAGGGCGGCTTTCTCGTACTTAGGGCATCCTCTTGATGCCGAGCCTCCCAGAAGAGGAGTAGCAAGGTGCTCTGCCTTTGGGAGGATGTACCGCGGCGCTACCGGACACCGAAGGAAATGATGGTCCTGCCGCCGAAAACCCGCGAAGCTCAGAGTCATTTCTCCCTTCAATTGAAAAGTATCAAGGCGCAAAATCCCTGGGCTGAAGCAAAACCTGCTTTAATTCCCACCCACCCCCCACACACACACACCCTTCGCAAGCGCGCCCACACGCGCACACACACACACCCCACCCTCTAAGTACAGAGTTCTGTTTGCATCACGTGACAACGGAGAGAAAGAAAAGTAGCTTTTTCATCATCCTCTTGGCGTTCTGTGTCTACGTCACCGGCACGTAACCTATTGCGGCACTGAGCGCTCGCTTCTGCGCTACGGCGGCCGCACCGGTTCAGTCGGTTGCCTAGGTTACCCCTCCGCTGATGCCCGGAACTTTCCTCTCTAACGGCTTCTCCCTTCGCCAATTCCTCCTCGACAGGTGAACTTACTTCGGCGCCCTGGCCTCCTTCGCCTCAGCTCCTCCCTGAGGCGCGAAGAGAGGTGGTTGGCGCAGCAGCTTGTGCGGGGCCGGAGCGGCGTTACTGGCTGTCTGCCCCCTCAGCCCTCGGTAGGAAGGCCTGCAGAGGGCTAATCGAGATATTCCCTGCAGTTGTCATTCCCGCTTTCGCGTAACAAGATCCCCCTCCCCCAAACCCCCAAGGGATCCCCCGTGCGCTTAGATGCTCCCAGAAAAAAATTGGCGCGCAGGGGGTGTAGCAGGTCCGGCATAGCTTATGCTCGGGTGACCAACGGCGGGAAGGGGGGAGGAGAGGGGAGGGGAGGGAGGATAGGAGGGGGTGACCTCCAATTCTTCGCTACTGCCTAAAGATCGCCCAGATGTTTGCCGCCCTATCTGAGCAGACAGCCGTTCACCAGGGCTGACACCAAATCAACAGAAAAGCGACATGAAATTTATTGCTCATCCTTATCTTTGCATCTCTTGCCTTGTCCTGTTGAACGGCAATGCCCGGATTTCCTGTGTGAAGGTTGAGTTAAGCAAAATGGTCAAGTCTTCTGAAAAGGTCCTTGGAGAAAAGCCTTTTGGGGTGAAATAAAATAAAATAAAACCTTTGGATTTATAGGCTGAAAGACAGGGAATGGTTCAGTATTACCTATTCCAAGGCTTTTCAACCAGTGGTACGGGTACCACCTGTGGTAAATTGGTACCTGGCAGGTGGTACCCAACCATCCTAGAAAAGTAGCGGGGGAGGGGAACGAGCTGAACCGGTGGCAGCACCGCACAAGCCTGAGCGAGAGATGGCTGGAGCTGCAGGGCTGTCAGGGCTCAGCGGAAGCACCAGGATTAGCGCCAAGCTCCAGCTGGAGCTTGGTGCTGATCCTGGAGCTTCCGCTGAGCCCAGAAGAAGAGCCGATCAGCTGGAATGTTGCAGCATCTCCAGGGTCTTGTGATTTACATTCAGATGCTTGGCAACTGATTCATATTTATGATGGTCACAATGTCCCAGGGTCATGTGAAGTGACCAAAACCTGCTGCAACCACCCAGCAGACGGGGAATAAAAACCAAACACCGCCCCACCTCCGTTGCCAATCCTCAACAGAAATGCTCACAATGAAAACCTCGGACAGGAGGAAGAGTGCCGCCGGGTGGGCAGGCTGTGGCTTGGGGGGGCATTTTTTTCATTGCCATTGTAACTTCGAACAGTCACTAAGGGAACTGTTGTAAGTCGAGGACTACCTGTACTTCATCAATTTTTTCCTTTTTTTTTTTTTTTGGTCATCAAGTTTTTGACACCTTGCTAGGCGACTGGTGGTACTCGGATATTGCCATATCCTAAAAGTGGTACAATGGGTGAAAAGGTTGAAAAGCCCTGACCTATTTAGCTTGGAGAATATTTTGATAATGACTTGAAGACAGTGGACCAACACTCTCGTCTGATGGTTCTCACCAAAAGTGCTAAAATACAAAACCCATTGAGGAGCTCTGAAATAAGTTGTCTAAACTGGTAGAAAATAGGAAAGACAGACAATATGATCCAAACTGTACTTATTTAGTACTGTTTGGTTCAGTGGCTCTTGCTCTTTGCTGGATTTAAATTGCGATCAGATATAGATAAATTTGAAGTTTGTAAATGTAATGAGGCTGATAGATGTAGTGATTAAAGTATTGGACTGGTACTTGGGAGACCCAGGCTCTACATCACACTCAGCCATAAGCTTCCTGGGTGACTCTGAGCCAGTTATTCCCTCCTAAGTCCAATCTACCTCATAAGGGGGTGATAGTGGGGAAAAATATTAGGAGGAAGCACTCTATATGATGCCTCCTTTACAGTATAAAAGGCAGGATACAAACCTAATGAAATAAATTAAAATACAGTCTTACTCTATTTGAGTTTTACTCCTGGCATTTATTCCAATCTTATCAAATACAGTTCTTATTGAATTTTATTCTATATATTTTCAGTAATATCATTTTTGTACCTTTAAAATGGTAGGTATGGAAAATGGATTTGTCATAATTTTATGTTGGAGACTTTTTCCGTTAGAATGTTTTATTAAACTCAATTTTCTGCATCCATTGTTGTTTTATATTATTCTGTATAGATATTCTTTAATGATTTGAGATGAGTGATTAGAAATGGAAATTGTTCTTAATGCTGAATTATTATTTAATGAATATTTTGTGCAATTGTTCACTATACCTAAAGAGCTTAAAACTTTTATTTATATTACAAATTATTTTGCAAACTTTTTTTTTCATTAACAGAGTACACATTGATGGATCTTCAGTTATTTTAATAAAGTCTTTTGTGGCTGTCCAGTAGTGTTGAATCAGGAAAATAGAATTGGATCATTGTCTGGTTAGCATGAGTCAATAATATTTTTTTATTTAAATTTGGTGTAAAAATAATATTTACATTATTACTGATGTCTTTGTAAAAACATATGAAAATTGTATATTTAAAAAAAAGGAAATAGCATATTTTGAAATTATGGTGTTTAGAAATCAGCATAAGGAATATTTCTTAAAACTATGTATTGAAGCCAAAACTATAACTAGTTTTGACAGTTTATTTGAGCCCATTAGTAAGTTTTAGTGAGTAATATTAATAAAACACATCTCCACATCTCAAGGTCCGTATAGTCCATCTCAAATTAACTGGTATTAATTTAATGGTTGTGTCTCTTGCATAAACATTTGTAAGTAAACAGATGGAATCCAGTGCTTTTCTTCATCAGGTGATGATAGAAAAGATAGTGATATCACTTTACCCTACAGCCTTATTCCAACAACCACCCAATTTTGAAGGCTTCTCAATATACAGAACAGCCTTGGAAGAGAAATGGGGAGGGGCTGCTGCAGAAGTAGATCCAGGGCTTTTTTTATCATAGAACGCCCAGAACGGAGTTCCGGCACTTTTTTGGGATGGAACCTTTTAGGGTAGGCAAGGCAGATTGTATAACGTATGTAAGTTCCGGCACCTTTTTTTTTTTAACAAAAAAAGCACTGAGTAGATCTGTTCTGTTACTACAGAATTAGAATGTAGGAATCATTGTATTTATCCTGTACAGGTAGTCCTTGACTTACAACAGTTCATTTAGTGATGCTTCAAAGTTACAAGGGCACTGAAAAAAGTGACTTATGACCGTTTTCACACTTACAACCTTTAAAGCATCCCATGATCATATGATCAAAATTCAGATGCTTGGCAACTGGCTCATACTTATGACGGTTGAAGTGTCCTGGGGGTCATGTGATCACCTTTTGCAACCTTCTGACAAGCAAAGTCAATGGGGAAGCCAGATTCACTTAACAACCAGGTTACTAACTTATCAACTGCAGTGATTCATTTAACAGTTGTGGCAAGAAAGATCGTAAAATGGGACAAAACTCATTTAACAAATGTCTCACTTAACAACAAAAATTTTGGGCGCAATTGTCATAAGTCAAAATGACTATATCCATACAGAATACCAAAGAAAATTGCTAGCTGTATGTACCATATGTGGTTATCCATCTAGAAAGAAAAAGAGAGAAAATGAATAGTAAGCATTCTTAATAGATGAATTGAGAACTATAATGGAAGCGCCATCAGTGCAAAGTGCCACATCATGCATGTGAACAAAATATTAATTTAAATTAGGTTGTTTCTGTGGAGGTATTGAAACAGTTATGGTTTAGTCTAAGGCTGTTTTAAGCTTATTATATGGATTTTGCATTCCTTGCCCCAAAGCAACAGGAGCTTAAATTTGGTGATGCATTTGAAGAAATGTACTTTAGTCCATCCTCATTATAGGCCAAGTGAAGTTTTATAATATAAGATTAGAAAGTAATAAATTTAAAATTCTGGCTAGAATAATTACATCTTTTTCATTTCAGAATGTGTTTGATCATTCTAGTGACTTGGGAAGTTGAACTTTGTTGCTAACTATGGCTCATCGGTTTTCAATGAAAGATATAGATGAAAAGTTTGAGCAGTTTTTAAAAGAGGTACAATTATATTTTTATTTGTCTGTTTTCAGTGTACCAGTAGAATATTGTGCCCCTTTCTATAATATTGTTAAATGTCTTATCCCGACATCAACTCAGATTTATATTAACTGATCAATATGCTTAGTATCAAATACTTTTTCACTGGCATTGGATATCAGTAAAAGGTACAATTCAGTTTCACATTTAAAACACTTTTTTCTTTTTACATGAATGGCATATAAATTAAAATAGTATGTTATACATACATGGCAAATGAGATCACATACTATAGTAAACCAGAAAACATAATTTACAAATACCAGTGGTATGGTATTTTAAAAAAATATTTAAAACATATGTTTTGAAAAATGATAATATATATAATATCTATAAATAGATAATTATTAAAATTATACAATTAATGCTCAATATATTAGCAAAGTATGTTGAATTATTTTGATGATATAAAAAGGAAATATAATTTGCATAAAGTTCATTGCCAAAATCTGTATTGCTATTCATAAATGTTAAGAAAAGAAAAAAAACACCCCTAAAAATAATATAAATATTTAATTTCTGATTCTTCCATTTTTTTGTACTCCATCCAATGTGTGGTACCTATTGTCATAAACTCTGGAAACCCTACTCTAAAGCAGGGGTCCCCTGTGCCACACCGGTCCGCGGCCTGTCAGGAACTGGGCTGCTCAAGCGAGCAAAGCCTCATATACACATGTGCAGGATATAGGTAGCATGCGAAATACACACACACACACACACACACACACAGGTCCCTGGTGCCCAAAAGATTGGGGGGCCACTGCTCTAGAGAACCCAAAGCAGTGCTCTGTTAAGCATTTGTCAGTTTCAAGTATGCGTTTGATTCCATCTACAGACAAATCTTGCGGGATAAGCTGAAGGCCTCCATTAGATAAATCCTTGCTCCTATATATTCACATGGTACATAAGAACAAAAAGTTATTGTAGTTCAACAATTGTGCCATATAATTTCCTTGCTTTTTTATTATCTATTATCTATTGATTTATTGACTGGATTTATTCAAGCTTGTACTTTATTTGAAATGGTTTGTTTTGATTAGTAATAATTTTTTTTTTACGTACATTAAGAATTAATTTGTCCTGGCCATTTGTGTCTTCAATTTGAAAAAAATCTTCCAGACATGGTTCTGCTACAAGCGCTAAGCCAAAACAGATCAGAGTACAACTTTTAATATCAAAGTGTGTTTCAAATTAGATTGGCTGCTACTTCAGTTCTTCCAGTGTTGGCAAAGAAGAACATAATAATTAAACTGCATGGCTTATCAGAAGAATTATTTTATAATTCCTATAAGTGAATTCACTTACACAAAAGTTAAATTAAAAGGATCTACAAATATACTTATATTGGTCTGGGGACATTAATTTTCATAATGTAAACATAGAGATCTTTAAGGATTCTATAAGGATATTCTGTGCTCTTTAGGAACACTAGTGATAGGGAAGTCTGATCATTGACATACATAACTGTCAAATGAGGACAATATTAATTTGATAAAAATGACAAAATGTAGGCAGAAATAAAAATATAAAATGTTGAATTTCTGCAGATATAGTCCAATAATTTTCAGTTATGATACCCCTTCTGTCCTGTAGAACTTATTTCCTGTTATACATGATCTGTACTCTAGAAAATCTGAAAAGATGTTTTCTTGCATCTTTTTTTCAATTAAAAAATAGATTTCAAAAAGAGTGTGGCTTGAAGAGGAACCACACATGTTCTCCATTGCTGGAAATGGAAATAATCAAAAATAGAATGTGGAGAATGAGCAGAGATGAATCTGTAGCCTAAATAGTATTGGAGGAATAGCTAGTAGCATAGTATAAATGCTACAATTTTATCATAAAAATGTGACCTTCTCCTCCAACAATTTATTTGGTGCAAAATTTTATTTTAAGAACCATTGTATTTTAAGCACAGGATTAACCCTCGAAATCATAGATACTTAAACAAGCTTAAACTTGGCTGGCTGATAAAAATTATGAAGCAATAATAAATAATAACAGCAAACTGGCTCTCTTTTTATTCAGTCTCTTTCAGATGATTCACTTGGAAATGAACAAAATCAAAATGTTACTATTCCTGAATCAGTTGAGCAGTCTAAAAATAAAAAGCATCCTGTGCCATGGTGGATAACAGAAGATGATTCAGATGATGGTACAGTATTGTACTGAAATTTATTTTATGTAACATCTCTGCCACAAGGTGTCAGTGAATCACTTTTGTACTCTTATTTGTGTGTGTGTAAATTTTGGGCCAGTAATTGTCTTTCTGGCCTAGACTGGGAAGTAGGATACATACCAACTCATACTAGACCTGCATATAAATTACCTTCAATGAAGATGATTTCAACCTAAAGTGGATTGATTTAAGCTGATTTTTATTCATATGTATAGAGATGGGGCTGTTTGTGTGTGTGAGAGAGAGAGCAAAGCAGAGAGAGACAGAAGGAGAGAAAATGAAGTAAAAATTGTAGGACTGCATATTTTTTGAAAGAGATGCTTAACAGGATTAAGCATAGTGTCTTTTTCTGAGCTTGGGCAGCTGTTTCAAGAGTTGTTTGAAGCTATATTGTGCTATATTCCACATATTTTTTGTCAATCATTTAAAAACACTGTAAATCATTTTTAAAAACTGTATAATTATATGAGTATAAATAAGTTCATTCTTTTTATAACAGTTCAAAGCACTTTGTGATTGTCTCCATATTTACAAAAACAAATAAGATTCAGGAGAAGTAGATATCGGAGGTCAAACTTACATTCTTAATCATATATATTAGAATCAAGTACCATTCGAAATAAATATTCAAGGGATCATATTGTTAATGCATTTCATGTGTTCATTGAGAAATTAACTATTAAACTGTAAAGCACACAGAACAGGAAAACTTAGAATATTCTTTCCAACTAAATATCCAAATAGTGGATTTGGCAAATCTCCTTATCTGTCATATGGCACTGTCTTACAATAATATAGTTTGGGATTTTTATGTATTTTACTTTAAGCATAAATAATTTATTGTGTAGCCTGTCCTCTAATGAAACTTAGTTGGAAGAAGCGTGAAGATCAATATTCTTTTTGAAATGCATGAAAATCAAATAATATGATCAGTATTGGATAAAATTTGATAGATAGTAGACACTGTTGATTTTTCATCTGCAAAACTTATTTAGTTGGGAAAGTAAAGTAAAGTAAAGTAAAGCTTACTGAACAGTATAGTATTTCAGTTTTGTGAAGAGTTAAGTTTGCAATGAAAATTCCTAATTCAGTGCCCTGTTTTTAATATAAAACACTTGTAAAGAAAAAAACATTATAATATTTACAGCTCTTAAGCTACCATTTCAAAAAGATACTTTGAAGTATTCTTTCTGATGAAGAGTACAAGAAAAAAAAATATTTAGCAATAAGATGATAAAAGCAAATTAAGTTGTTTAGCCTTATTTTTAGTAAGCCTGATCTAGATTTGCAATTCTGCAAATGGAAGAACTTTCTGATCCACCATAAGCAGAGAGATTATTTTTTTACCAAATGTCCTTTCCGCATAAGTCGAGACATCTTGGGAGAGCAGGGAACTAGAGAGGAAAGGATAAATTATTACACTCGTGCCAGTGGGAGCAAGAATTACCTCATGAGATTCTGGAATCCCACTATGTAAGTTTATACAATCTTAGATTTTAGATTGTTATGCGTATATGATTTGTAAACTGAGATTTTCAGTGTTATATTAATTATAGTTATTAAGGTTTTTGAAATACACAGTCTGAGAATCAAAACGCTTGTTTAATATTAATGCTTCTTGGATTTTTTTGCTGAAGAACTAAATATTATTATTATATGAGAAATGTGACACTTTTCTTGCAGCAATTTCAAAAATAGAAAGGTGATATATAAGCTGTGTATAATTGAAAATAAATTGTTTATCTTGAAATGTCTCTTGAGACATTACCCCAGTTATAGGAAATAGAAAGTAAACCATCCAGAAATGCAGTCAAATCAAATAATGCTTAGAAGTAGAAATTATTATTATTGTTATTTTATTGCTACTTGAGAAAGGTTAGATTTGCAACATTTAACTGAAAATGCAACTTTAAATAAACAAAACCTTCTACATACATGCTTGCTAGTGTATAGCAATTTCTCTCCTTCGATTTAGCAGTGTTTTCTATAGTTAAGGAAATGATTATAATAGTATTCTTGGGTGCTACTATTTTTAACTGAAAATTGTTTCTGATTCCAAACTTTCACATTTGGCATGTCTAGAAATTGACACTATATACTCTGTTTCATTTTTTTATTCTTGGTGGTTTGATTTTACTTTTGGCTTACTGTTGCAATCTTTTCTGTTATTTCCTTGAATTTCCAAAGTTCCCAAAAAGAGCAAGTTTATCAAAAGTGTATCAAAAGGGAATGAAAAGAAACTTATTGGGAGAAAAGATGCAGTGGCTGAAAATTATGAAAAGAGGATATCATTTTCAGATAATGAGCCTGGTACTGGATTAAATTTCCTATTTATAAATGCCAATGTTTGATGTTAGTTGTGATGTGTTGGGACTCAAAATTAATTTATTTCAAGTAACAGTGCTTTTACTTTGTTACTGAGTTGTTTCCAATTATAATCTCAATAGGAGGGAACTTGCTAAAACAATGGTATATGTAAGATCCTTAGTTAATTTATGTCATCTACAAGCAGAATTGAAAATATTTTTAATCTGAAAATCTATTGAATCACTATGAATCAGGGTATTTAATCGTATTTACTCTTGAACTGCCTTTTAGGTGAGTCTTTTCTACACCAGCTAGTAAAGAGCTAGGTGGATAGTTCCTGTGTTTCTATGAAATATTTAATTGTATAAATTGGTTTTGAATCAAAAGCCATATACATAAGCCATTGTTAAAAGATCTTCCAGTATGATTTCAGTTAATGTTTAAATGCACCATTCTGAAAAATTACAACAATCCTGATATGATTCAAATTAAGCTAATGACCAGAATATGAGAAATCTGATTTCTTTGAGTGGCCAGGCAGTCAAATGAGAGCCCACGTTATAAAGGCTACATTTTTTAAAACTAGTCCTATAAAGAAGCTATGTGTATTATATAAATATATAAAGATAATGTTGGTTCTTCATCTAAATGATTGACATTCAGTCGCAAAATTTATTGCGTTCTGTTGAAATATTTTGGTGAATATTCTGTGTAGTCTTTAGCAAAATTATAGACCAATTATATTTATAAAAGTGATTTATTCATTTGTATGTTTAGGATTCATTGAGGAGCTAAAGATTTATACTCTTTGTACTACAGTTGAATTTGCTTTCAGTTCAAAACAATATATATAATCAAACCTTAAAAATGTTAAACAGGCAATGCCATATTTTTCTGTTTTGTAATTAAATCTGTTGTATGAAACTATTTAAATATTAAATATTTCTCAGTAACATGATTTATCCTTAAATACAATTACATTGATAAGATAAGTAGATCCTATGTCCTCGAGTGTGAATCTAGTTTTTTGTTTTTTAAATTAGCAATGGAACAAATAAGAACTGGATGTTTGTTTGTTAGCAGTAATCTGGAAAACAGTGTTGCCAGTTTATTGTATTAATGAGTATAGTTGTCATAAAAAATCCAAATTATTCTGTGGAGAACATACATTGGGGATATTACTTTTCACATCACAATTTTTGGGTAGCTTATTAGACCAAATGCAATATGTAAACTGTTTTGAAAATTGAGATTTTAAGTAGGCAAAATACTTGAACCCATCATTCAATATATTTCTGTGTTCAACTATAGATTTATCAATATTCATTCCCCTTCTCCCTGGTTTTGTTTTAAGGTATACCTGACACCAGCAATAACTTTCTGAAATCACGGAAGCTTTCTCCTTCTATTGAGGAAGTAGATGAAGATTTTGGAGAAGACCTTCAGCTCCCGCAGCTTCATGGTGTTTCTGTCTCTTTAAGCAAAGATAGTTTGGAATCAAATGGTAAAAGTGCTTCTGACATTAAACGTCTTTTTTACTATACTATATTTTAAAAATTTGCTAACAAACATATTGCAAGTATAGACTAGTTATTTTTTTAAGTGGTTTTTATGTTGCATAGTTCTGAAGAAATGAAATGGTCACTTCAAAATAATGTTATATATTTATTTTTACCCTGGTGCCACAATTTAAAATGCAGTATGATTGATTCAAGGAGTGTTTTACAACTCAGCTCTAGAAAATACATGGGCTTTAGGTTTCTGTACTAGTTGTACAATCGCCCCAGTCCAATAGTTCATTCAAACCATATGAGCTCACAAAACTATCCTGCTATGCGAAGACAAAGCATATTTCTTTTTTCCTCTTTTTTGTTTTTTTTTTTCTCCATTGGGAACCAGTCTGCCCACACATTCCTTTGTAGTCTTGGATTTACTTCCTATGTTTAAACAAATGGGAATTTAGAACCATATGCTAATATTCTTGTTTTCTTATTTAAAATGTCTGAATGTCATTTGACAGTTACAGTACTAAGGTATAAATTCATATGGTTATTTATATATATTCTGATACTTTTATCATTTAGATTCAGTTGTGGCTTTGGGACCTAGTGAGAATATTTTGGGAGATGGATTGGATACTTTGGAAGAAGAAGAGGAAAAGGAGAAGTTTTTTGCTGACCTTGAAAAAGGAGCATCCTCCACCATAGACTACTCAAAATTAAATCAGGAATTAGATTCTAATAATTCTGAAATCCTGCACACATTTTTACGGTAAAATAAACAAAGATAACAATGGTAGTTATATGTTGAATTGCAGTAGTTTGGAAATGTAACAGTGAAACATTGTGAAAACAAATTGTACTAAATAAATATTCACATTGTATTGTAGCACTGAAAAGTAAGGTGGAAGCCGTAGAGTAGAAAATGACACTTTATGGATAACAAAATGAATTCGAACAGGAAAATGAGATTGGAAGTTGAAAGCAAGCAGATATTTATGCATAGACTAGGAAAAATTGCTTACCATTTGTGATTCTGTTCATTTATGAAAATGTTCCCTTCTCAGTGTTAACATAAATAAGTAAAGATGTAAATAAGTTGGAAAAAAATCCAACCCTCCTGACCTACCGTAAGAGCCTAAAAACCTAGCTGTGCCAGCTAGCTTGGGGTTCCAGTGAGGGGACATCACAGTGGAGGTGGTTGATCAATTAACAAGTCCCTCCGTCCTGCCCCTCCCTGTTTTTAATTGGATCGTAAAGTTTGGCTTGTATATTTATCTTTTTTTATTATAAGCCGTCCAGAGTTACTCTGTGGTAAAATGGGCGGCCAATAAATTTAATAAATTTAACAAACAAACAAACAAATAAATAAGTAAAATATTCAGTGGCCATCCATAATTTTTACAGTATTTTTCTTAGGTCCAATCTAGGATTAATGTCGATACAATCTAGGAGCAATACAATAGTAATTGAATACTGGTCTAAACTGAAATTTAGTCTTTATTATAAAGGAATTTTCACTATTGAAGCCATAATGGGCTAAAATATTTTTCAAATGTGTATCTATAAATATAAGTAAAGCCAAATTGGGGGTTATAGCTTCCTTTTTTAAAAAAAATATAGATTCTGTATTCTAAAATCTTCTTTGGATATACTGTAGATATTCACAGATTACTTCCACCCATCCTGCCTGCCTTTAGTTGTTTAGGAAAAATTTGTGGGTAGTTGAAAGGACTTTTTTTGTTGTTAGAACAGCATAGCATTAGAATGAATATCCTCAGCCAAATGTAAAGAGAAAAATATTTTGTCATAACTAATATTTTTATATTTTGCAGCAACCAGTCTCAAGCGAAACAGACAAAAGGAGAAGATGACAGTGAATGTATGAGTCATGAAAAATCTGGTAATTTCAAACAATTTGCTTAGTAACCTAACATTTAATGCCTATTTACTTACGTGGCATTGATTTCCAAAGGATGTTGTCAATTCATTGTTTCATTGTAAAGATTCATGAAAGGCAGTCACAAGATATTACATTAATTTAAAGGGCAGTTCCTCATAAGTCAAGAATTACCTGAGACAAATAGGAAAATATTGTTGTCATTAGGCCATTGAGGTAATCTGCTACATTGCAACAGAATGTGAAGGCTTTATGCAACCAGTGACTGTAGAATAAGTTTGGGTTTTTGTTTTTTCAGTATTGATAAATATAGTTTAACTCAGAATTGGACACATTTTAAATAGAAAGAATTTAAACCATGTCTTAATGCTTGCTTGCACTCTTACAATTCAGTGAGAAACAGCACGTTCCTGTTACTCCTGTAACATTATTCAGTGTATAAGGACACTTACATAGCTGACTATCCTGCTGAGAGAAGAACATTAAACTGTAACTTAACATTAAACTGTAAGGTTTTCCCATCTGTTTGATCTGATCCAATAAAAGAGTCAAATAGATCCTTGGAAAGGAAAATTGCATTGTTTCTCTTATTTGTTTTGAAGAACTAAACACAGACTTTCCTCCAAACGTTCAGGTGATTATAGTGAGGATTTTGAGGAAAATTCAGAGTGTAATGAAGACAACAAAGCTGAACAGGTGGTCACGTCTGAAGCTACTGTGAGCATTTGTGATAAGTATAATCACTTCCTATTTAAGCATTCTAAATTTTGTGGTTTCAATGTTTTATCTGACTGTGGGATTAGCTAGTTATTTACGGTACTTGTCTTTTGAGATGTAAGGACCACTAAGGTCAGTGGAATAAGCATCCAGGTGAGCAGTTGTGGAACAGCGTGCCCTGAAATCCCAAATGTCCCAGTTCAAAGATAGAAATGTGACATAGAGTTGACTTTGAATGCATTTATTGGCTTTGCTCCTGAAGATACATATTGTTTATAACATTTCATAGCTGGCATCTAATTATGTTCAGAGCTCTTCAGAAATGTATACTTCTGAAATCATAAAAAGTTAGATTACCACTATAAAGCAAAACTATTGGAAGGATAAAAGAGCAATAAGAGTTCAGCATCAATGCCAAAATCACATTACAGTAATGATATGATTAAAGATCTTGATGCCAAACATAATTCTCTTGAGATATACATAGTGTTTTTAATATGTTTTTAAAACAGATTTGCAAATCTCAGGACCCTATAATGGTAGAGCCAGGAATATTATTTACAAAGGCATATGTTCCTGATTTAATAAAAGCTGAATCAGGATTCTAATATTTAAGTGATATAATAATGGTATTATCAATCTGTACAACATTAAACTTTATTTATAAAATTTCTAAAAAATGAACAAACAGGCATGTATAGGATTGCGAATAAATAATACATTCTAATCCAAGAGCATAAAATATTACCATTTAAATTTTCTTGTATTCATAACCATCTTCTCTGGTTTGTATTTTCATGTATACTCAGGTGTATTTCCAGCATAGATGAAGCATTATGTTCAGTAAAAGGGCCAGATTAAAAGCACTGAATGATTAATCAGTTTTCTACACCAAAATCATTCAAGGAATAGCAGTAGCATTTACTCTTACGCATATATCACTCCATTGGGCTTTACCGCATTCTCTGAGTGGTTACAAATGTCAGCATATTGCCCTCAACAGTCTGGGTCCTCAATTTACCAACCTCAGAAGGTTGGTAAATTGTCAACCTTGAGCCAGTCAGGATCAAACTCCTGGCTATGGGCAGAATTTGCTTGCAATACTGCATTCTATCCTCTGTGCCACCATGGGTATTAATCATTTGGCTATTGGAAATCAATACATTTTGAGGAGAAAGGCACAGTGATCGGAATGATTTGCACATGTATTAAATGCTTCCAAATATTATTTCCTTAAAGTATTATTCAGATTTTAATTTACTTTTTTTGAAAATAGTACTTATTTTGCTAATTTTCTATACCCAGAATTATAACTTCAATTTTCAGTAGTATATATCTTTTGACTTGATGCTGCTTACGTTTTATGCAAGTGAAATATTAGTTTTATAGTATATCAAAACATTTAAGTTGTAAAATGGTAAATTACTTCAAGAAAGTTTCCTATTTCTTATTCAAAATAATTTCTTCCATGTATGAGATTTTTATATATATATATATATATATATATATATATATATATATATATATATATATATATATATAATTTTATTTTCTAGGAGGAAAGAACAGGCATGCTGGCTAAAGGTACGGAATTCATATAATATGAAATATATATTATAAAATGAGTTCGATTTTCTTGAATTTGGGAAATAAATAATCAAACATAATGGGGCCATATTTTTTTAATTGGTTTCAATGCCAGTTGTAAATATGTTGGCAAAATTGACTTCGGAAATGCTTTATGGATATCTGAAAAAGCAAATAATTTTCCTTTAATTCTGCTTATTATAGGGCTGGCTTCCCCATGAATAAAAGCAAGCAATATTTATTATTATTAATCCTGAATTTTATTAGAAAAGATTACAGGAATACTTTGATGTCAAAAGTACTCATATCAGTCACTGTAACTGGAAAAAGAAAAGTTTTACAGATTAGCGTTACACAAATAACTTTGTCTAGGAGTCATTTTCAAAGACTGGTCAAAAATAAAAATGGTAATGTAAGTGAACAATTGACATCAACATTTATTTTTCAATTTTGGAAATAATTTAAAGTTTAAAATAATAACAATTTACGAGTACATATTAGAGGCAAGCTTCAGTAAAAAAGCCGTTAGTCTCTCTACAAAGAAAAACATAATAGAAACCGGGGAAAAAATGCTGTCCCTTTGTATATATGCTTAGTTAAAAGAAGTCCCATTGAGTGACACAGCTTTCTTCCTAGTTAGAATACTTGATATTGCAGTCTTCTCCCCAACCATCTCCTGCAAGCATGACATATGATTAGATCCTATTGTTGCATAAGCAAGAACCATTTAACATTTTTTTTTTGCAAATAAGTTGATGGTGAATTATTTATCGTTTTATACATAATTTTATCTTTTTCATTTTCTTATTTAAAGCCTTTTGTATTTAATATATTTATTAAATATTTATTGTGTTATCTTAAAAGTTTCTTATCTAAACAATTTTTAGTATTTCTACATATTAAACTTTACTGCATGTTGCGCATGTTACAGATTAAGCATAAGGTTGCCTTTACATTTTCTTCATCTTCACTAATATAGAGAAGATATAATTCTTTTTCCTTTGTAGTTCTTCTGGATTCTCAGGAGTCAGTTTTAGAAACTCCAAAAACCAATGAACAGCAAGATGCAGCTGTGGTAGAGCAACATACAGCTCAAGAAATTACTGTAGAAGAAATGACTGGAACAGGTAAAGCTACTTTTTGTTAATTATTTCTTCTATTAATCATGCTTTAAACGGATGTGAGGCGGGAGCAGTTTGTCTCATTCTATCTTGGTTCATTAAAATTACTGTTTGGTCATGTAAGTATCCATCTAAGCAAAACAAAACTTCCCATTGACTTCCCATTTATTTCAGTGGCAGGAAATCCAATATTTAAAATCAAACAGTCTTAAAGTATGCAACTGTAGCTTAGACACTGTTTTTTTCCATATGATCAAATAGACTACCTCTAGCCCTATAGAATACAATATAATTCTTTATTGGCCAAGTGTGATTGGTCACATAAGGAATTTGTCTCCAGTGCATAAGCTCTCAGTGTATATACAAGCAACAAGTGCTTGTGCCAAATCTAGTTTTGAGATGACGATAAATGCAAGAAAAAGCATAAAATGCTATTTTTCTGTTCTTTGGTCTTACTAGTTACTGAATTTAAGTTACAGTAATGTCAGATGTAATGAATATTTTTTTAACATTAGTATTTACTGGTTGGTTAGGATCTGGTGTTATGATCTGACATAATTACATTTCAATCTTAAATTTTTTTTTATTGGAAATAATCCTGTTGAACTTGATGAAACTCATTCCCAGATGCATTTGTATTTGAATCTCAGCAGAAGATGCTTTATAATCTATATATATATATATATAAGCTCCTAACAATGGAAAGAATCAGAGGCATTTCCCTTTCCCTTTGCTCACTCATAAAATCTGCTCTGAGCCTGAAAAATCCTGAGCTGAATTGAGTGCCTGCAAAGGGTTAAAAGTCCTGTTGCCTGATCAAGCTTTGGCCCTGTGTGACATTAGAATTTTGCTTAAGTCATACTAGGTTACTAGTGCTGTTATTTTACTGATTTGTTCCTCATGAATATTTATTTTCAGCCTACTACATCTGGAATTGTTTAATTTTTCTCCTTTCAGGTATTTCCAGTGGGCAAACCAACAGTGACATTGAAGCTTTGCATCAAGCTTACCGTCATGTTGAACAGTCTTTAGGAGCTACAGATGAACAGAACGTTCATGATGAAAAAATTGAAGTCGAAGTTTGCTTAGTCAATGACACTTCACAAAATAAAGAAAGCTGCCCTCAAAATACTTCCATTACTAATTCTGGTAAATTCTGATACTTCCCAATATTGTTTGCATTTATCATTCCGATCACTGGACTGTTCCCGGTCCTCCTCCAAAGAAGATATAAATACTGTAGCTCCTTCCATGTTAATACTAAAATGTCCATTGCTATTGCTTATTCTGCTTTATCTCTGGTGACATCATTGTTTGCACCAGAGAAAGTGCAGAACCCATCTCTGTGAATTGTGATCCCACATGACTGCATTTATGTTGCTGATTTCCCAAATTGTGCTAATGAAGCTAATTACATGATTCTTTTCTATCAGAGTATCATTTTTCTAGAAAGGAGGTTAGGCAATAATTTGATGGAAAAGATATTTGTGTCGTTGATTCGGACTCCTGCGAGTGTAGTTTCATTATTCATGTCCAAGGCCAATATTATGGGGTTTCCCCAGCCTTTTAAGGCAGAGGCCCCCAACCTTTTAGGCACCAGGGACCAGTTCTGTGGGGAGAGGTTTTTCTTTGGATTGGAGGGGGCGTGATTTTGCGTGCTGCCTGCATCCCATGGATGGGGCTACACTTGTTTGCACAGCCCAGTTTCTGACATGCCACAGCCCAGTGCTGGTCCGCAGACCAGGGATTGGGGACCTCTGTTTTAAGGTCTCTGTGAATAGGATGAGTAATTCATTTTCTTATATTGTAGCCATTGTGGTTTTTTTTTTTTTTCATGGAATGAAACTCATGAAATCTTTCTTGAAACTTCTCAAAGAAGAAACATGTTCTATTTGTAGTCTGCAAAAGATTTTACAAATTTGACCATGAGATTTAAAAAACTAAATATTTTCCTTTAGTTTTTTTAAAATGAAATACATCAAAGGATGTAAAATATACTAGTCTGTTAGTAAGAAAATTAAATCTCTACATACATAAAGTTCAAGAAATTAAAAAACAGAACTAAACTAATGCTGACAGTTCATTCGTGCCTTTCTATCTTTAGTAGTCGCCTTTTGTATTTTGTGATTGTATTAGCATCAGTCTAGAAGTCAGTTGAACATAGATGTGTACTGTTATGCAAACCAGCATAACTGGTGTTGTATTCTAGCATATGGAAATGCGTTAGAAGCACAGTCTAGGCATCCGAGGAAATATATTGAAAGCTACACTTTATATCTTTATTGCTTATCTTGATCAGACTGTCTGAGTTCTTTCCTCAGCTTTCAGGATTTTATTTATTTGACATCCAAGAAAATGAGTAATTACTTAGTCAGCCAGTGCATTTATGATCTCTCAGTGGCAGCAATGACTGCTCAGTTATTCAGTGTTAGCATTCCAATAATTTCTGTTACTTATATATTTGGCTGATCTCTTAAATAGAGCTAACAGTATAGAGCTAATGTAGCTATAATGGTTGAGGTGTTGAAACCTGGACTCTGATGTACAGAAACTCACTGTGTGATTCGTGACCAGTCATTGTCTCTCAGCTCTCAGTCTTTGTCAAACAAGGTTGTTACTGTAGCAAAAATAGGATATACCACTATAAGAGCCATCATGGCGCAGTGGTTAGAAAGCAGTATTGCAGACTAACTCATTGCTCACACCAGGAGTTCGATCCTGAGTGGCTCAAGGTTGACTCAGCCTTCCATCCTTCCGAGATTGGTAAAATGAGGACCCAGATTGTTGGTAAAATAAGGACCCAGAAATATGCTGACTCTGTAAACAGCTTAGAGAGGGCTGTAAAGCATTGTGAAGCGGTATATAAGTGCTATTGCTATAAGACCCCGAATAAAAGATATTATGATATTATAGCTAACATATAGTTAATTAAATATATAATTTCAGTCTAATACCATTCAGTAGCATTCTTTACTAACCAACTCTCAATAATCACTAAAAAGTCATACTTTAGAGAATTGCCTCAAATTTGTTATTATTTTTAAGTTTTTATCCTTCCTTTCATCCAGGAGCACAAGATGACATTTTTGAAAGCTGTAATAGTATTCTCACAACTATGAGGAAGCTTGGGCATAGATGGAACAATTGCTCTAAATCACCCAATGTACTCTGTGGCTGAAGTTTGATCTCACTGTTTCATGCCTAGTTTGCAAAATAGTAAAGAATAGGAAGGCTGCTATAGAAAATAAATATATTAAAGATTGAAGTAAACTATGTATATAAGAAAAATAAAAATTGTTGTAATTAGGAGATCACAAATTATCTTAAAGAAGAAAAGTTAAAAGTAATGCTTGTTTTTAGTTTTGTTTACTGTCCCTACTGTGTAGAGAACCAATGTCTCCTAGAAATGTACAATAAAATGTAAAATCATAGCTATTCAAAACAGTTCAAAATCAATGGTTAATACACTGCATTAATCACTGCAAAATGTAATAAGATGGACAAAACAAACCAGTCCCAATATAACCAGGTATTAGATAGATAGATAGATAGATAGATAGATAGATAGATAGATAGATAGATAGATAGATAGATAGATAGATAGATAGATAGATAGCCTTTATTGTTATTTTTTACTGTGGGCACAATGGCACACATTAAAAAGGAAATTTAGTTGCTTGCTCTCAAAGTGTACACATACATAACACACATTTAAACATACTATATACAACATATGTGTAGACCTACACCCTTACATATAAGCAACATATAAATATTAATCACTTCCATTTTGAATACTATACATAATGGAAGGAGGAAGCTTTAGAGTTCACAAGGTTAATACAGTATGGAACAAAACTGACTGAATCTGGATGTTCTGCTTCGAATACCACAGAGCCTCCTCCCAGAAGGTAACAAGGAAAACAAGTTGTGAAGAGGGTGTGTAATGTCCCAGACAATCTTACACTTATGTGCTATGGACGGGAGGGAACTGCCAATAATCTTTTCTGCCATCCTCACCACTCTCTGCACCGCCTTCCTGTCTGAAGCAGTGATGCTTCCAAACCAGACTGTAATGCTGTATGACAGGATGCTCTCGATCGTCCCCCTGTAGAAAGTGGTCAGGACAGGGGAAGGAAGATGTGCTTTTCTCATGCAATGCAGAAAATGCAGGCGCTGCTGTGCCCGCTTCACCATTGTCTTGCTGTTGAGCGACCAAGCCAGCCTACTCATTAGCTGCACACCCAGGAATTTGATGCTGGTAACCATCTCCACAGGTGAATCATTAATGCACAGGGGAGTGTGGTTGTGCCTGCCTTTTCTGAAATCGACAATGATCTCTTTGGTTTTCCCAGTATTTGAAACTAAATTTATGCCAATCTTTTAGTAATTTCTGACCAAAAACTGAAATTTTCTTCTAATTTTATTTGAAAATACTTTTGCTACAGAAGTAATAACAAGTGTGCTGTTCTCCTTCTATCTAGATTTGCCCACCATAGAAGAACTGATGAAACCTATCAGAGCAGATTCATCTTTTGTCAGGGGATTTGAACTGGAGCCTGTTAGGTATTCATTCTGGAAAATGCATGGCATAGCCAATGAAATGTTCATGGGTTTTTTTCTTTAACTCTTTTTAAAATGAAGATATTACTATTGTAGTGTTAGTAAGATATCATTTGCTCCTTGAGTATATTATTCATAAGATTTAAATATTTCTTTGCTGCTAACATCTATTTAATCAATAATTGGAGAGAAGAATTTAAGCTGAAAACTTGCAACCTTAAAATGGTATCTGTTTGCTCAGTCCTGTAGCTGGCAGAACTAAGTATAGGTAGTCCTTGATTTACAACCACAATTAAGCCCCAAATTTCCATTGCTAAGCAAGATGGTTAAGTGGGTTTTGCCCCAACCTTTCTTGCCACAGCTGTGAAGTGAATCATTGCAGTTGTTTAGTAACACGGTTGTTAAATGAATTTGGCTTCCCCATTGACTTTGCTTATTAGAAGTTGCAAAAGGTGGTCACATGACCCCTGCAACCCTCATAAATGTAGGCCAGTTGCCAAGAGTCTGCTGTCCCATTTTCTCTCTCTCTCGAGCGCGCTTTCTCTCTCACATACATACACCACAGGTGCAAGGAGTCTTTGTTAAGGCTTCTGAGCCTGAATTGGTATTCCCCAGCAATTCCCTGGGCCAGCACCAGCTCAACCCCAATAAGTTCCGCAGGCTGCTCAAATGAAGCCAACACTAGTCCTCAAGGCAAAGGCAAGTCCAGTCCACTAGGCAAAAGCAAGTTCCCAAGGCAAAGGCAAGATCCAAGACCAAGGCAAGCCAAAGGCAAATCCACAGGGCAAAGGCAGGGCCACAGCTGAAGAAACACAATCCAAAGTTCAAGGCAAGAAACGAACACCTTCCAAGCATCATTTCACTCCCCTTGATGAGCTAAATAACTGCTTCCTAGTACAGCTCATCAAGAGGGATGAGGCTATCTTCTCACAAGTGGCCTGGCTGACCTTCTTTCTGCTGCCTCCTCTCAGCCCTACATGCTCTCAGATCTGGAGAAGGAGGTAGTTCTTCTTCATCTCCACTGACCAGATGCATTTGTTTGCCCTCTCCCCTCAAGGCCTCTCAGCTTCCCAACTGCAGTTGAGTCTCTCCTGTCTCCCCTGTGCTCGGCCCCTCCGCTCCTGGCTTGTAGCCCTTTCCTGCCAGCTCATTCTCCTCTGAACGAGCATCTGGGGACGCATCCGGGGAATCATCACAGGTCCGAATTTTGATCACATGATCACGGGGATACTGCAATGGTCATAAGTGTGAAAACAGTCCTAACTCACTTATTTTAGTGTCGTTATAACCTCGGACAGTCAGTAAACAAATGGTTGTAAGTTAAAGACTACCTGTAAAATAGATGACTTAAGGTATGATGGGAAAGAATCCCCCCAAGCAAAATCTCCATACCCAGAAGGCAAACCTTGATAGAGCTTCAAAGGGGTGCTTATGGGGCCAACAATAACCTATCTAAAATACATTATCTTAATAGTGCATGTCCATGAAATCATAAATCATGAAATCATAAAGCCACATCCGATTATACTTCATCCTTTTGGCCTTCCATAAGGTGATCAGCCAACTTAGTTTACTGATTTTTTTTGCATCCGCTGCAGGAGACAGAGAATATTTTTTAATTTTAATTTTTCTCTTTTGTTGTATGCTAGTATATAAAACTGTAAAACAAATAAGTAGGGTTCATTATTGCTGTATTGGGTACAGTTTTCTTTTTATAGTCAAGGAGTTTTTGAGTGTATGGGAAAGAACATTACCTGGCCAAATATGAGATACTTGTTTACATCTGCTGCAGTGTGATCTATTGATAGTGCCATTATTACTTAGTCCTGTCTTGCTGGATCAGGTAATTGTTTTACTGCACAATTATATAAAACTAGTGTGCAATTCAGTATCAAATGTCCATAATTTTATAAGCTATTATTAATAGAAACAACAGGACCTATTCATATATGGTTTTCTTTCCCTTCCATCTCATAGTCCTGTGAAAGTCACACAAGATCACCCGGATGGATTAATGAAGACACCTAAAGAACATCCTAATGATACTTCAGTGGAATCTCAAAACATTGGCTGTCTTTTAAACCACCACGGCGAACAAGAAGATACTTCTGTTTTAGAAGTTGCAAATGAAAGTAGTAAAGATAGTCCTCATCTGAAAGTTATCAAGAAGAAATTGGCTGATAAAATTAAACATGATGCTATGAAATTAAGCACTCTGTCAGATTGTTCAACACTGTATCAGGAGAGGAAATCTGGACAGGTGAGCAGCTTTTACTTGTCATAGTTAAGGCACTAAAAAGCAGGAAAATCAAAGAGTTTTATTCTTCTACAGCTAAAGCCAGTCCAAAATAAGCCATTAAATGAAAGGTAGCCTTTCAAAACAGCAACCAGTCATCAGCAGGACAAATTTATTTCATAATCACAAAATTAAAAAAATAAGTCCCTGCCAATCAATTAGAAGCCATCAGAAAGGAATCAAAATGATCCTGCTTAGTAACAGAGTTTAATACTTTGCTGGTTGAAACTTTGATCCTATTCCTCCAACCTTTACTCCCTATTTCCTACTTATCTTCAACTTTCCTCACTTTTCTTGAAGCAGCTGATTTCTAGGATTCTGAAATATGACTTTCAAGACGCTCGTGTTGACCACGGTGATTAGGTTACTGCTTAGGCAGCTGAGTATCTACTTGTTTGCATGATTTTATATATGATGCTTGAGTTGTTTACTTGGGATACAATCAAGCTAATATAATTTTGGTAAAAATGTATTTGGTAGAATTAGATTTACAAGTTAATCTTGCCATTCTATAGAAGTATAACTTGGTGATTACATAATTTTGTTTTAAATATTAAGCCTTCAGTTTACATTCTGAAACCAAACTAGTCAATAATATACATGTATGTGTCATTTGTAGATGCATCAACCCAACACTTGGAATAAAGAGAATCCAAATTTAGTACCAAATAAACAAGTAATGTATAAGAATAGTAAAAACACAATGATTATTCATAGAAAGAAACATTTGGGTGGATCACATAGTTCTATTAGAAGCTCTGGATATGGAAAACCCAATTCTTCATTAAAGCACCTCCCTACAGTTAATGAGAAGACGTTGAAGGAAAGCAACAAAAATCCACTTCTGAAAGTCAAATCTCCACCAAGACAGAAAGGTGTGTGAGTGTGTCTATATATTTTAAATTACGTGTATGTGTGTGTATGTGTATAATTTAAAATTGGTATAACGTGATGTAATGTATATTTAAAGAAACTACCGTATTAAAGGTAATGAAAATAGACCTTTTTGGCATAAAATAATGATTCCAAGAAATATAAGGTATCTATATCAAAATTATAGAGTCATTGTTGCAATTTTTTAAAAAAAACAAGGCATAATTGATTGTTTTTCTTTCAAAGGCACATCAGTGACTAAAGTAATTCAGACAAAACCCCCTTCACTCTCATCCAAAAGAAATGATTCTATTAACCCTGGACAACCATCTTCAGGTGAATTTCCACCAGATCCTAAAGAAAATGACATCCAGCATCACAAGATAAGTGATACAACCACTGCTCTTCAACAGGTATTTTTTTTAAAAGGAGAATGCTGGAGAAATGAAAATGTAGAATAAGAGGAAGGTTCTTTGTTCTAAGTGTTCTTAATGTCACTCACGTACAGCTTGTTCTCGTTTAGCAACCGTTCGCAGTTACGACAGTGAGGAAGAAGTAACTTTGCTATCCATCTTCGTTTTTACAATCTTCACCGTAAAGCAAGGTTTTACTTTTTGTAAAGCAAAAGAAAGCCGAAGTAAGACAGGAAGCACCATTGCCATTTCACTTAGTGTCCACTCGGCTTAAAGACTGAGTTGCTGGTCCCAACGGCGGTCGCTAAATGAGACCTGTATACTCTTCTCAGATGTGAGAAAGGAGAATGAACACCCAGTTTGGCATTCCCTTATTTGATTTGATCTAGCAAATGCATATATACACTGAGCCCAAACCGTAGCACAAAAAGTATATACTTGCGGGGCTTTTTGTTTTAAATAACTCTTGTGCTACCATAGACAACTACCTACTATTGAATTCATAATCTATGAATTGGATTCCATTAATAGAACTCATAAATTGAAGGAAAGGGGGAGAGGTAATTTTGACTTTCCTCAAGCTGCAGTCTCTCAGTTTACGCAATACCTTATTTTGGGTGCAGAGACAGAATGTGAGGTGATACAGGAGGAGGAGGGGGAACTGGCAATATCCCAGCCTTCCCCTCCTCTGCCTCTTTTGTGAAAGTGTCACTTTGTACATGGTCCTTCTTGCAAACAGGATAGATTGGGTTTCTAACATAGGAGGCTTGTCTGGGGAAGAGATATGTTAAACCCAATCTATAGTAATATTGTTTATCACATTTATATCCTTATTTTTGTAAGACAGCTTTGGGAAATGTTGAATTTCAATTCCCAGCAGCCTCAACCATTACGATTATTGTTGAAAATTCGGGGGGGGGAGGGTTGTACAAATAGCTGGAGGAATACAGATTCCCCATCTTTGCTTCAGGGAGCTTAGACCAGTTCATGTTTTTCCATCTTGGTGCTTATTCATTTTAATTATAATACACTTGGATGCAGTCAACTGCTTCCTCAAGCATAGCACTTATTTGTGTATATTTTATGTACTTGAATTAATTTGCTTTGGTGCTAAAATGATGCATTTTCCTAATGAACAGAAGTGTTTTAATTCCTCTCTACAGTGTTGAAATATTTTGCATACTGGAATAGGCTTGGAAAACGTTAAGCATTTAATTTTTATATGAAAAAAGAAAATTAGCACTTGAATTTGATTCTGCACTCCATATTGTATTTATTTCCTGTGTATCATCAGGCAGCCCCAATTTCCTCATTTCATAATGAAAGAGAGCTTTATTTACTAAAAAGAGTGCAGGAAGCAGAGGAAGAATTGACTGCAGCCAATACTTTGATTGAGCGTCTGAAAGCCACCTCTCTGCAAACAGAGAAGGAAATGGAGGCAAAAATTCTGGAAAGGAAAGTGCAGCAAGATAAAGAACTTTCCCAGTTAAGCCAAGAAAATTATGTTCTTCAAACACAGGTGCCATCTTACATTCTTTTGCTGCTTAATAAATAGCATACTTTTTAGTATATTCCATTAAAACAACATTTATCTTACATTTGATTAAAATGTCCATGAAACTACCTGCCTTTACTCATTGTTTTTGGAGATGCAACTCAGTCAGTTGTCATGCAAGATTGTCTTTCTACTCTGATCCAGTTTTATGCATTGAAATGTCTATTATTAAACAAGAAAAAACTACTACTCAGTTCCTAATAATCACAGAAATACTGAGCAGCTTTATAAAATCCAATAAACCCATATCCCATACATGTTACTTGGAGGAAAAGCAGAATATAAATGTGATTATTCAGGTTACTAACATTTCAATAAATGAATACTATTTACTTGAATAATAATACCTATATTCTGTTTCTCAATTATATATGTATTCAGCTTACACGTAAAATTATTTTTTCTCAGCATTGTTATAAGATGCAATAATGCTTAGGCATTTTCTTCATAGCTAAATAATATAAAAGACCTTAAAAAAGGAACAATGTGGTCAACTATTCGGGAGAAAAATCTTAACGATGAAGAAATGTTGAAAGAAATCCAAAAAGAAATCCAGAATCAAGAGATTCTTCTCCAAGGATACCACCAGGTAAAGATCATTTAATATTGTGACTCTGGGCTTTTTGTCCTGCCTACCAGAAGTGTTAGACAGCACTTCCCATTGGAACTTATCAGTCAGTGCAACTAGTAGTTATCTTGGCAGAAAAGAAGCTGAAGAATCTGAAGTAAGTAGCTTATTTTTAGAAAATTCAGTTTGAAGCCTAACTTGTATTTATTTGTTTGCATTTGTTAGATTTATAATCACCTTTTTTCCATACAAATTAGACATTCTGAAATAGTATCATCAATTTGGCAAAGCATCTAGCATTTTAGTGATTAATTTGAAGCATCAAAAATTAAGAGACATTAGAGAGCCAGTAGGATATTAAGATACTGAGCTAGCTGGCTCTCTAATGTCTCTTAATTTTTGATGCTTCAAATTAATCACTGGTGGTACATGAATTTGGTTCTTAAGAAGTAAATAACTTTGCATGCAGCTATCTACATTTTGTTTGTATGCGTACAAACAAAGTCAAATCTAAATGTTCTAAATTTCAATTTTTTCAATTTGAAAATTCTTAGTATGTTTCTACTTGCATGATTTGTGATATAAATTTTCTGAGCCAGGGAGAATGTTGGATGAAATCTCTCAACAATACTTTGATTTTACATAACAAACTACTATTGGTCTGGAAATTAGAAACTACAGATACTGGTGCACATCTTTTCACATGAACCCATAGTAACTAAATAATTGTTCTTTTTTAATTCAGGAGAATGAAAGATTATATAAGCAAGTTAAGGAGCTTCAGCTAAATAACAAGAAAAATGAGGAAATTATGTTTAAAGAGAATCAACGTTTGATGACTCAATTAGCAGCTTTACAGTGAGTTTATTTAAGTATATGGCAAAATCTATAATAAGTTTGCATAAATTATTATTTCTGTAGTAAATAAAGGAACACGTCATTTATCTGGATATGTAATTCCTTTTGAACATGAGTAGGACTTACTTCCAAATAAACATGATTATAATTGTGCTGTGTCTAATTGATTTTTAGCTAGCAAATCAGTGTGGCTATTCCCACCAAAATCAGTGGTTTAATCAGACATTCTAATATTGGGTGATAGTTAGGTAAGAGTTGCCTTTCAAATATTGTCTCATTTCTAAACTGTACAAAATGGGTAGGATTATATTGACAGAGGTTTTGCAGAAAAAAAGCCATTTTAGAGAAGTAGTTTGGGTCAGGACAGATTTCTTACTAAGTTTGTAAATCAGCCACCTAATATAAAGTTCTGAATCTCATCTTCTTGCTATTCAAATTGAATAGCTTCAACAAGGAAGTTATTCAAGAAATCCTAGTATAGAAATTAAAAACAACAACTCTGTTCTGCTTTGAAAGAGTTCCATCTAAATTATTCTGAGATATTCTTGTCATTTGCAATAAACTAAGAAGTCAGCAATGGAGTATGTGTATACATATAAAAATTAGATTCATTTGCAGATATATCCAAAATAGAGACACTTTCTATCTTAAATATAAAACTGTACAAAAGTGGTAATCTTTTAATTTAAAATAGGGAGAAGCTAGAAAAAAATAATGTTTTATCACATGGAGTGCAGAATGATAAACCATCTGAGAATCAGAATTTCACAGACTTGATTTCAGAACTTCGAACAGCCAAGGTAGGCCTTTTTGCAATTTCTGTGCTTTAATATTCAAAATATTACCAGCAAGTTCATATCATCAATATGTAGATGTGTTACTTATTTTTATAACATATCTATTTTAATATTCTTTCTAAACAAACACTAGATTGGACTGATAAGATATATTACTCTGATTTAACAGATCAACTCAGAAAAGTTTCTATTAATACTTTCCTGTTCCTTTGTGACCAGATTATCATCCTTTTCCATTCAAAGTGTGTATTATCTTTCCAACTATCCCCCAAATTTCAGGAGCCTTCTTTACCCAACTATGTAAGCTGATGCCCTTAACAATTGGACAATTCTTGACAGATTTTATTGCTGAGGAGATTCACTTTATTTTCCATGTAACTCTTACGAAGTATAGTCATAATCATGAACTGAAATTGCAGATTTTTTTTTTTTAGTTTCCTGCCATAAAACTAAACTGCATGAACTACATTATCTTGATTTTGTGGAAATGGCAGCTGTAAATGTATTTTAAAGTGACAATTCCACCTGGGCATTTGGACAGACTGATTTCTTGATAAAGAAAATATTGAATAGATCTGCCATTATTCCCAACCATGTGGAAAGCTCGGTTCAGTGGTTAATAACATGTTTTGTCTTTCTCTTTTCTTTGATATCCCTTTCTTGGGGTGGGTGGGGAACAAAGGCTACAGAGGCCAATTTGCTTGAAGAGAGAAAGCATCTAAAGCAAGATAAACAATCCCTTGAAGTTGATTTGGCTCAAATGAAGAAAGAACGAGATTTGGCAAGAGCTCAGATTGTTTCTGCCTCAGGTAACATCCTGTTTTAAGAAGACTATTTCCCAGTGAATAAGATTGCTGTTTTGTTGTGTTCTTCAAAATGGAAAATATTGCATCTGTTTAATATTCAATGTGTTTGTGCAAGGAATCTTTGAAAAATAGTGCAGTTCCAGCCTAAGTGTCTTCCTTGCATATATGTATATGCATATGTAGAGAACAATCACACTGAGTCTTCAAGAGGATGCAGTGACTTTGGCATTTTGATGTGAGGCATTTTGCTAGCCAGAATGCTCCATTTAAAGCACTAAAGGTGAGATGATCACAGTGTTCCAATATCTCAGGGGCTGCCACAAAGAAGAGGGGCTCAACCTATTCTCCAGAGCATCTTAAGGCAGAAAAAAAAGCAATGGATGGAAACTAATCAAGCAGAGAAGCAACCCAGAACTAAGGAGAATTTTCCTGATAATTAGAACAATTAATCAGTGGAACAACTTGCCTCCAGAAATTGTGGGTGCTCCCATATTGGAGGTTTTTAAGAAGAGATTGGACAACCATTTGTCTGAAATGGTACAAGGTTTCCTGCCTGAGCAGGGGGTTGGACTAGAAGACCTCCAAGACCCCTTCCAACTCTATTATGCTGTTATTCTATTGCTGTGCACAATGCTGGTTGTGAACAAAACATTAAAGCAGCCACTTCTTTAGTAAGGCTTACACGGCACCTCAGAAAAAGCTTTGCGAAAAATGCAACTGCTTTAAAGATTGGAGGAGAAGGTGTTCTTTGAAGGTCCCATGCATTGCAAAACACCTCTTTTACTTTCTTTTCATGAGGGAAAAAAGAAACCCAAAGAATATCACTCTTGAATTTGGAAGTCCCGTCTTAGCCATGAAAGCCAGCAGGATGATTTTGGGCCAATCACTCTCTCTCAGCCCAACCCACCTCACAGCGTTGTTGTTGTAGGGAAAATAGGGGGAGGAAGGTGTGTTGGATTGTGTTTGGATATGTTTGCCGCTTTGAGCTATTTGTAAACATAATAAAGGCGGGATACAAACAAACCCAAGTTTTTATATGCAAAAATTAGCCCACAGTTTAAAACCAAAGTAAAGAAAAATAACAACGATACTTCTAAAAGGATTCAGCACGAATCATTTTATCTCCTAGGTGAGAAATCATATGAAATGAAAATTATGGAAGAGTCCTATAAAGGTGAAATTAATCGCTTGCAAAAAAGACTCCAGTGGTATGCAGAAAATCAGGAGCTCTTGGATAAAGATGCAGCTCGCCTGAGAGGAGCAAAAGAAGAAATCAGTAAGCTGAAAGTAGAGGTGATTATCAAACATCAACTAGAAGTACACCAATGCCAAGCCAAGGCATTTTGTTGAAAAAGACAGGGGCCAGATCTCCCAACTGCCCCCTCAGACAGAGTGTCATACAGCCTGAGGTTCATGTATTCAGGGGGAAACACCTATTGCCTGCCTGACTTCTTGGTGGGCAACAGTAATGGTCACATCTTGCTTCTCATTATAAGTATATAATCTGGCCACTTATTGGCAAAACAAAGAAGGGAGGAAAATTGGCCCTAGATAAGCAATCAGGGAGTTTTAATGGAACTGTTCCAGCCTGTTAGCTTATCCACAGAGGTGGCTACCTTTGTTGCATTTTCTCTATTAACCAGAACTAGGTGATGGAATCAGCCTGGATTGCTTGACGTCACAAGGTCTTAAGTTCAAGAGATACTGTGGTTTGTACCCTGACATAAAACTGCTCTGTATTTTAGTGTTTTAGATTTGTCTGTTGAGAATAGCCCAGAAAATGTTCAATTGGAGGCCTGGAGTGCAAATTGACTCCATCTAGAATGCTCTCTTTTACTTGTTAGCTGGCCAGGAATATGGCTGTTGCACAATCAGCATGCACAAAATATGCTGAAATTTTGAGAATGTCAGACTACAACATTCATTCACACAGAAAGTGAGATCAGCTGTTAAATAAACTGTTCTTTCATCTTTGTGATTTTTGTGATGGTTTCTCTGTCATGTTTTTTGTTGTTGTTGTTAATTGCGAAGTCGTGTCCGACCCATCGCAACCCCATGAACAGCGTTCCTCCAGGTCTTCCTGTCCTCTACCATCTTCTGGAGTCCATTTAAGTTCACACCTACTGCTTCAGTGACTCCATCCAGCCATCTCATTCTCTGTCGTCCTCTTCTTCTATTGCCCTCAATCTTTCCCAGCATTAGGCCCTTCTCCAGTGAGTCCTTCCTTCTCATTAGGTGGCCAAAGTATTTGAGTTTCAACTTCAGGATCTGGCCTTCTAAAGAGCAGTCGGGGTTGATCTCTTCTAGGACTGACCGGTTTGAACGCCTTGCAGTCCAAGGGACTCGCAGGAGTCTTCTCCAGCACCATAGTTCAAAGGCCTCAATTCTTTGCGCTCAGCCTTTCTTATGGTCCAACTTTCACAGCCATACATTGCAACTGGGAAAACCATGGCCTGGACTATACGCACTTTTGTTGGCAGGGTGATGTCTCTGCTTTTTAGTATGCTGTCTAGATTTGCCATAGCTTTCCTCCCCAGGAGCAAGCGTCTTTTAATTTCTTGGCTGCAGTCCCCATCTGAGGTGATCTTGGAGCCCAGAAAAATAAAATCTGTCACTACCTCCATTTCTTCCCCATCTATTTGCCAGGAATTGAGAGGGCCGGATGCCATGATTTTGGTTTTCTTAATGTTGAGTTTCAAGCCAACTTTTGCACTCTCCTTCTTCACCCGCATCAAGAGGCTCTTTAGTTCCTCTTCACTTTCTGCCATTAGAGTGGTATCATCTGCATATCTTAGGTTGTTGATATTTCTCCCGGCAATCTTAATTCCAACTTTTGATTCATCTAGCCCTGCCTTTCTCATGATGTGCTCTGCATATAAGTTAAATAGGCAGGGCGACAGTATACAGCCTTGCCGGACTCCTTTTCCAATTTTGAACCAATCAGTGGTTCCGTGTCCAGTTCTCACTGTTGCTTCTTGACCCGCATATAGGTTTCTCAAGAGACAAATAAGATGGTCTGGTATTCCCATCTCTTTAAGAACTTGCCACAATTTGTTGTGATCCACACAATCAAAGGCTTTAGCATAGTCAATGAAGCAGAAGTAGATGTTTTTCTGGAACTCCCTAGCTTTCTCCATGATCCAGCGTATGTTGGCAATTTGATCTCTAGTTCCTCTGCCTCTTCGAAATCCTGCCTGTACTTCTAGTAGTTCTCGATCTACATACTGCTGGAATCTAGCTTGTAGGATTTTAAGCATAACTTTACTAGCATGTGAAATGAGTGCAATGGTGCGATAGTTTGAACATTCTTTGGCATTGCCTTTCTTTGGAATTGGAATGTAAACTGACCTTTTCCAATCCTGTGGCCACTGTTGAGTTTTCCAAATTTGCTGGCAAATTGAGTGTAGCACTTTTACTGCATCGTCTTTTAAGATTTTGAATAGCTCAGCTGGAATACTGTCACCTCCACTAGCTTTGTTGTTGCTCAGATTTTCTAAGGCCCATTTCACTTCACATTCTAGGATGTCTGATTCGAGGTCAGTGACCATCTCATTGTGGTTATCTGGGACGTTAAGCTCATTCTTGTATAGTTCTTCTGTGTAGTTTTGCCATCTCTTCTTAATCTCTTCTGCCTCTGTTAGGTCCCTGCCGTTTTGGTCCTTTATCATGCCCATCTTTGCATGAAACATTCCCTTCATATCTCCAATTTTCTTGAAGAGATCTCTGGTCCTCCCTATTCTGTTGTTTTCTTCTATTTCTTTGCACTGTTCATTTAAGAAGGCATTCTTATCTCTTCTAGCTACTCTCTGGAATTCTGCATTCAATTGGGTGTATCTTTCTCTTTCTCTTTTGCCTTTCGCTCCCCTTCTTTCCTCAGCTATTTGCAAAGCTTCCTCAGACAGCCATTTTGCTTTCTTGCATTTCTTTTTCTTTGGGATGGTTTTAGTTGCTACCTCTTGTACAATGTTGCGAACTTCCATCCATAGTTCTTCAGGCACTCTGTCTATCAGATCTAATTCCTTAAATCTATTTGTCACCTCTATTGTATATTCATCAGGAATATGATTTAATTCATACCTGGGTGGCCTAGTGCTTTTCCCTACTTTTTTCAATTTAAGCCTAAATTTTGCAACGAGAAGCTCATGATCTGAGCCATAGTCAGCTCCTGGTCTTGTTTTTCTTGTTTTTACTGACTGTATAAAGTTTCTCCATCTTTGGCTGCAGAGCACATAGTCAATTTGATTTCTATGTTGACCATCAGGTGATGTCCATGTGTAGAGCCGTCTCTTGGGTTGTTGGAAAAGAGTGTTTGTTATGACCATCGTATTCTCTAGACAAAATTCTATTAGCCTGTGCCCTGCTTCATTTTGTACTCCAAGGCCAAACTTGCCTGTTATTCCGGTTATCTTTTGGCTTCCTACCTTAACATTCCAATCCCCCATGATGATAAGGACATCATTTTTTGGTGTTAATTCTATAAGGTGCTGCAGGGCTTCATAGAACCGGTCTATTTCATCCTCTTCAGCACTAGTGGTTGGGGCATAGATTTGGATTATTGTGATATGGAATGGTTTGCCTTGGATTCGAATTGAGATCATTCTGTCATTTTGGGGATTGTATCCCAGTATTGCTTTTCCTATTCTTTTATTGACTATGAAGGCTACTCCATTTCTTCTGAGGGATTCTTGCCCACAGTAGTATACCTGATTGTCATCTGAGTTAAATTCACCCATTCCTGTCCATTTTAGTTCGCTGATTCCTAAGATGTCGATGTTCAGTCTTGTCATGTCTTTTTTGACTACGTCTAGCTTGCCTTGATTCATGGGTCTTACATTCCAGGTTCCTATGGAAAAAAGATCTTTACAGCATCGGACTTTGCTTTCACCACCAGATATATCCACAGCTGAGTGTCCTTTCGGCTTTGGCCCAGTCGCTTCATTCTTTCTGGTGCTACTAGTACTAGCCCTCTGCTCTTCCCCAGTAGCATATTGGACACCTTCCGACCTGAGGGGCTCATCTTCCAGCATCATATCTTTTTGCCTTTTAGTACTGTCCATGGGGTTTTCATGGCAAAGATACTGGAGTGGTTTGCCATTTCCTTCTCCAGTGGATCACATTTTGTCAGCACTCTCTGCTATGACCTGTCCGTCTTGGGTGGCCCTGCACGGCATAGCTTATAGCTTCATTGAGTTACACAAGCCCCTTTGCCACGACAAGGCAGTAATCCATAAAGGGCTGTCATGTTTAATAAGCCCAATAAAAAGGATGATAGAATTTCAGGTTCATTATTCATATCAACTTCTCCCTTCCTTCCTTCCTTCCTTCCTTCCTTCCTTCCTTCCTTACTTACTTACTTACTTACTTAAATTAAATATGTTGTATGCATAAAACAAGAGAGAGACAAGACAAGGCTATTCTCTCCTTTATTTTTATTAGCATTATTAGCTAATAGTTCTAGCATTAGAACCATTGGTAATCCAAATACATAAAAAATAGAATTCTAGAAGCCAAATTAGTTGCACAAGAACATAAACTGAAATTATTTTAAAGTGATATTGTACTTACAATCCAACCTAGAGTCTGTGAAAAATGTTGATGGAACATGATATGGTTCAATATCAGACAAATCAATAAAGAAAAGAGCCTCTCTCCCCCATGCTGATATGGGATTGACAGAATGAAAAGCAATTTGTACATTGACTAATAGGCTTTAAAAATATTGCTGTAAAGATCAAATACTATGAGTTTTTTAAAACAAAAAAACAATAAAGATCTATTCAAGGGAAATTATTCAATAATGTGAATGCTATCATAGAGAGAATAACTTAGTATTTCCTGCTACATTATCAGAGCAAGGCACACCTAACATCAGGGGGAAGCAAGCTGTTTCAGAGGGACAACTATTACTGAGAAAGTCAATGTCTAGGTTCCAGTCCTGTTTTCATGAAGAAAAATCTTCCATTGAAAAAAAATGAAAATACTTTGTGTTACGGTAATGATAAATGGATTGTTTAGGCCATTCTTTGGTATACTTTTACTTTTTATTGCACAGGTTGAAAAACTTAGAAGTGAAGCTGGGCATCACTCTGCCCAGCAAAGGACACGGCTAAAAAATAGGGCAGCAGATGCCAAACGGATTCAAGACCTTGAGCGGCAGGTATGTAATATACAGTCCTTTTTCCTGTATTATATTAGTATCTACTTTTATTAATAATGAGAATGGTGATTTAACTGTGTTTGCTTTGAAGCTCTTTTCTGGAAAATAATTGTTAAATAGATTTACAGAGTGGGGATAGGGAATTAAGGCCAAATACTCTTCATACTAAAATAATGTCCAAGGAAGGATGTTGAGTTCATTTACAGTAATTGAGAGGTGTTTCAGTCTCTTTCTGAGATAGAGAATCTATAAAAAAATGATATATCTATGTCTTTTCATTGCTCTTTCCCTAGACCCCTGAAATATATAGGTTTTGGAAAACGATCAGTGTGCATGCATGTCTGTCTGCCCCAAATTTAGATGGAAATGTTAAGGCTGATTCTGATATTTTTAGCATGCAAAGGATTTCTTTGCTACTGAGTTCTTTTTCTCTCTCTTCTCATTTAGTGAAATCATTTTCACAACTGAGGCTTGTGAGAAAGCAATTAATTATAATTGAATTGTTAATTATAAATTATAATTTGAATTGTCAATTATAAATCCCACTAGTTATGTTCAGTATACTCCTAGGATTCTCCCTTTAGCTTATGAACAGTATTGTTTGCGTATTTGTATTGTTCAACTATGAAACAAGTATCCTTAGGTATGTTTAAAATTTCAGTGTAAATATTATCAGACACCTTTCTCTTGTCACTGAAAATGTAAAGCTAAAATGCCTTTGCTCTAAACCTTTTGATTTCCTAAGTGTTTTTTTATTTTTATTTAATTTAATGTATCTTTTGAAAGGTTAAGGAAATGGAAGGGATTCTGAAGAGAAGATATCCTAATTCTTTGCCAGCTTTGATATATGCTGCTGCTACAGCAGCTTCTGAGGGAGACGGCGATGCTACACCAAAAAGTAATACAGTGGAATTTCTTGAAAAAAGAGTTAAGAAGTTAGAAACAGAACTGGAGGGTAAAGATGACGAAGCCAAAAAAAGTCTCCGTGCCATGGAACAACAGTTTCAAAAAATAAAGGTGAAACACTTCACTACAGTTTTAAATACTTCTTTTAAAATCTACTAGCTGACAGCTGAAAAGATTGAAGCTGTTAAGATGCCAGTTAGACTGCAAGTGAAAGACTTTGGTGAAGATGAGGCCGTTGCAGGTTTCAATCTACTTTGTACCAGTAGAAATAATAAGGAAGGTATGGCGTGCCTCAGTTTTACCTGTACAGAACAGGCTGATTATTGCTCTTCTTTACTATTCAGTAAAAACACTGGTGAAGATGAGCCAGGATTTCAGTAAAAACCTGCTTTGATTCAAAAGATCTTGGCAATTATAGACCAGTCTCAAACATATTCTGAGAAAGGTGATTAAGAACTCTGAGTACTAATTATCTAGGCCCATTTCAACTGGTCTTTCTAGTAAGATACGATACTAAAATTGTTCGATTACTTTGGTAACCGTGAGCCATGCTGGAAACTGTCTTGGAGGGCTCGGCTCTGGTTGTTTTCCTGGGTACTTCAGGACGTTTTAATACTCTGATGGCATTCTGGAGGGCCTTTTAAATCTGGCTCTTCTCCCAGGCTTTCGACGTCGGTGGTTGGAACCCCTTGTTGCATGGATGATACGTTTGTCAATGCTGCAAATACTGTATATTCTTGCTTTGACAATATGCGAAACTGTCTGGTATTTACTGGGTTAATACATAGCTTAGAGTGGGGGGGTAAAAAGCCCGGGAAAGAAAGGGGAAGTAAACTTTTGACCTTCACACTAATTGGATAATGTGACTTGTGACTGCAAGATAAGGGAGGGGTTTAGCAAGAAAAGTTTGATGCCAGCGAGAGGAAGTCAGATTCTGGCATCAAAACGTCCATGATGGTGACCGGCAATTTGTAGCTCTGTAATAAAGACTTTAGGAAACATGCCTGAAAGTTCTTTAAAGTGCTTCATTAGTCGGAACCCTGACAACGTTGTTGCTGATAGGATTCACAGTGTTGTTTATTGCTGAGTATTTTTTTATTTTACTTCGTTGTTTTATGTGGTGAGCCAGAATCAATTAAAGATGGAGAGCATTACAATAAATAAATAAATCATAGTATTGTTTTCCAGTGGTTCCAGTTCTCCTTATCAGGCCATGTCCAGAAGATAATGCTGGGAGACTACTTGTTGACACCTAGGTCAGGAATAGGCAACCTTAGCTCTTTTATGACTCGTGGACTTCAACTCCTAGAATTCCTGAGCCAGCTATGCTCAGGAACTCTGGGAGTTGAAGTCCACGAGTCATAAATGAGCCAAGGTTGCCTACCCCTGACCTAGGTTATTGCTTTCCAAAGTTCCTACAAAATTTCTTGTCCATCACATTGATCAACTTTATCAAATGTTCCTTAAGTTCCCTGGTGTAATTTTACAAAATCCAATATTTTTGTGTTTCATTTCACATTTATGTAAGCGAAAGCATGCGTGTAAGTGAGCCTACTTTGTCACTTTAGCATCACATGTTGACTTTAACTTTCATAGAAAGGAAGCCATAATTGTGCAAGTGTTTGTACTTGGGTTGTTTGTGTTGCACAACAAGCTGCATTTTTTTAAAAAAAAAATATTTTCACTCTTGGTTACTGGTGTCAGAGTCTTTTTTAAAATGAGTGTTGTCAAAGCAGTTGAGAAAAAGAACGCGGTCTACCATACTTCACTGTTCATACCATCGGTTCTCTTCTGGGAACATGGCTTGATGGCTTCCCTCTCGGAAAGCTGGCAGATAATACACTTCTAAGGTTGGTATGCAAAGTGCCATAGTTGGATATATCAGTCTGGATCTATCCTGGTGACTGCTTAAGGAAACAATCATGTGTTCCCTGGGAAAGCATTAAGGAACCGTTAACTATTGCGCCCTTGCTCTCCTTTGAGATTCAGAGCAAATAAAAGCAAAATATAGGTGAATCTTTACTTCCTGCAATCTGTCTTTACAGCTTCAATATGAGAAAAGAATTGAGGAACTTGAACAACTTTTGGCATATAAACTGCTGAATGAGCCTCAGAAGCTTCAAGACAAGTCATCCAGCTTTGATCAGGAACTGTGTAAGGTCAATGAAGCCCACCAAGAGACTGTTCAGAATCTCCAGGCTGAAATCAATTCCCTCCGAAGCCATGTAGCCCAGCTAGAAAGTCAGAGGAATCCACGAGATGACGTTGCAGATCTGCAGTCACTAGAACATCAGGTGGAACAAGCGCGTGCAAAAGCCCAGTTGGTTCGGCTCAATCAGGAAATGATTGCCAAAAACAGGGAGATAAAAGATCTCACCAAAACTGTTGAAAGGCTTCAAAAAGAGAGGAGGAGGATGCTGTCCAGTGCAAATTCTGGAAGAAGGCTTGATAAAAAAGGAATGCTGGAAAAAGACCCTGTGAGTCCTGAGAAAAAGGTCCCCAGGAATGCAGGTTTTTTCCCTGATCATCTCAAAGATAAGATATACCAGCCCGATGTCTTTGCTGACGCTCACATTTCAGAAGTCCAACAAGAAAATGCCCACCTGAAAGAAGAATTGGAAAAACTGAAACTGGAACTAAACGAAGAAAGGGTAACATCTCAAGCAGCTCTGGCAAATGCTGAAGATCTTATGAGAAGGTAATCTTTTGATGGTCTAGAGTTGTTAACACATGCCCAGGGCCATTTATTCCTGTAGAGCAGGGGTAGTCAACCTTGGCTCTTTTATGACTCGTGGACTTCAACTCCCAGAATTCCTGAGCCAGCTTGGCTGGCTCAGGAATTCTGGGAGTTGAAGTCCACGAGTCATAAAAGAGCCAAGGTTGACTACTCCTGCTGTAGAGTAGTAACGCTTGCTGATTTGAAGTCTTGCCCTTCTCACGAGTGCTTTCTTGGAAGCCTGTTCATTAGAAGCAGCTCTCCTCAGCAGGGCCAGGTTAAATTAAAGTTTTTCCTTGCAGTTTAAGTCAAGCTTCCACTGGCATTTGTTGAATTTTTCCCATTACTTTTTATGCAGTGATGTGAGTTACAAATACAGTCTAAATTACAATTGTATAGTATTATTTGCATTCTACCCTTAAATAAATTATGGACTTTAACACATGATCCTTGCAGTTAATTGGACCACTAGAACAAACTTACACAGATTTTTTTTAAAGTGTTATTTTAAAAAAAAAATTAAACAAGCCCTTTTTGATCAGCCAGTATTACATAGAATCTTTTACAGAGATCTATTGTTAGAATAGAAATCATACATATATTGCTTTTCCGTACAATGAATAATATTTGTTTAGTGCGCAAACTATTTCATTTTGTAAAATAAGCTCTCTTTTTTAAATTACAATTGATAGAAATGCCACAGTTCATTTCCTTTTTGGCTCTGTCTTGATCCTCTTTCCACTCTCATTAATGATAATGCTTGTACTTGCTTTATTAGAATTAAAGATTTAAATATTGAGTTCTTAAGATTGGTCCTAAAGCAGGCATATTTTTTTCTCCTTTCTGTCCCCAGGAGTCCCCAACCCCCGGGCTGTGGCCCACTATTGAGCCATTTGGTACTGGACCACGGAAGTGTGCATGCACGCACACATCTCCACGTGCGTGAGCAGCGGGCAAGCGCATGCATGCGCAAATGGAGCTGCACATGCACGCACTTGCCGGCTACATGCATGGAACCATCCCCTTTCCCTCTTCCCCACCGGAAAGCCAGGAAGATTGGGGAACTCTGCCCTATCCCTCATGTTTAAGAGTGGTGTAAAAAAAGAACAATGGGAAGAACAATTGTGGTTGATTTACAGCTGCAGAAACATTTGAAAAATATAGTACATACAAGCCAGATAGGATATTCGTATTATTTGGAAAGAATTGGATATATGTAGGTTACTACCAACACAGCAAAGAGTGTTACTTTTTTTCTGTGCTTACAGGGCAAAAGAAGAGTTACAAGGTCATATTGCTACTCTTAAAGTATCACATCAGAAAGAGCTGGAGAGAATTCTTTGTCAGCAAGCAAGAGAATATTCTATTTCCAAAGCAGCAGAACTGAACAGCAAGATTTCATCTCAAGAGGTAAAATTGGCCAGAGAGAGAGAGAGAGGTAGACACACACCCACACCACAACATACCCCTACAAATAGACACAGGCATACACAGAAAGGCCATGGTATATTGTATCTTGCAGACATACTTGCCATTATAGCAAGTAGTTTTTTCATTCCATGAACTGTCATAGAAACCATTGTACTATATATTTGTCAATCCTGCCCCAGCTTGGTCCTTTAAGTAAGAACGACTCTCAACTCCATTCGGTGTGAAAGGTTTACTTTCCCAGCCATGGGATCTTGAACATCCTTCTCCCTCACCCTTAATTCATAGTAGACTGGCAGCTAGTGAATGCAAAGTGCAGGCGTAAGATGGCACTTCTGACAATATTACTCTGAATGCCATGTTTATGTAAATTATGTGTTTACACAATTTGTAAAACTAAGACATATACTAAGGATATTCTTCTGCACTTTGTCAGAAAGATCAGCAGAGATCAAGTTTTATAGAAGCATTTCACTAAGAGATTGAAGATTAATAATGTGGATGTGATTGTACTTAAAAGAAATTCCAGTTAGAATACTGAGCAAAAAGAAGAGTACTTCTTTTTGACTGACAAGCTGTTCATTTTATCATGCCTGGAGAACTTGTAAAAAAGCGAGAAATTTCTGGGTTCAAATACATATAATGATAATTTTATAGGGCAGTCTTCAACTGAAACCAGAACCTTTCATTCTGGGTTTAATAAACAATTAGAAAGAGCCATGGAAGATTGTTTTTATATATGATTATTGTTGCAAGACTATTATATGCACAAAAATGAAAGCTTCTGAAACAGCCCTAATGGGAGAACGGTTTGTGAGGATAACAGAACTAGCAGAGATGGCAAAATTAATTTTATTACAGAAATATCAATAACTACATTTTTCAGTGACTGAAACTCCTTATGAACCTTTTGCTGAAAAAGAGAAAAGTGAACCTATGATTTATGGGTTTGTGTATTGATTCTATATACTTTTTAATTTCTGCCTCCGTGTCATCTTCATCCCATTTCAAAAACTTTGTTATGAATTTTTCTAGGGTTTGAGGATTAGAAAGGATAATTTATGGAAAGAAGGAAATTATGATATAGCCTTAGAAAGGAGTAAAATATAAATGCATGTACAAGCAGTATCCAAAAGATTAGAAGCCATTTCTTTATAATCCTTTTTTTTTCTTTTCTATTTCTTTTTCTGTTTTCTTTCTTATTCAGTATATTTTCTTTGTTTTCTAATATTTATAGTGTTTTAATCTTATTAAAAATTTCTTCAATAAAAATAATATTTAAAAAATGAAATTGAAACAATTATTTGCATGTTATCCGCTAAGGCAACACAATTCTCTCTTGTCTAGTCCTAATCAATGCAGATTCTGATTACTGAAGTGGATGGGCCACACACCATCATATCTTTAAAGAAGTACATCATGTTTTAGAATAGTCTAACCATCAAGAATACTTATGTCTTCCCATAGAACCTTATTAAGTACCTTCAGCAGCAAGTTCATGAACTGCAAAAGGAGGAGGGAGCCCTTGCAGTTTCACAAAGGAGGGAAGCCATTCTTCAGAAGGAGGTAAATTGAAATCTAAAGTATTTTAAGAGTATTAACAGCAGTTTGTAAATTCGGTTTATTTCCGAACTGCCCTCGTAAATTGGTGCATTTTATGCAATAGGTCTTGATAGCATTTTATCATGATTGTGATATCTATACTCTGACCTTTATCCACCTGTTCTTGCCTTGTATGCTGGCTTCAGCATTTGTGCCAGAATACTTTAAACCTATTTCATTAACTAGTTCACCAGTTTGTTATAATTCAAACTGGAGTGAGAGTGACTTATTAGTCATTTTCACTGAACGCTAATAGCATCAGATGAAAGTTGGTACATAGGTAAGTAGGTAGGTAAAGATGATAGATAGATAGATAGATAGATAGATAGATAGATAGATAGATAGATAGATAGATAGATAGATAGATAGATAGATAGATAGATATAGGCAGACAGACAGACAGACAGACAACAATAGCACTTAGACTTATATATTGCTTTACAGCCCTCTCTAAGTGGTTTACAGAGTCAGCCTATTGCCCCCAACAATCAGGGTCCTCATTTTACCAACCTCGGAAGGATGGAAGGCCGAGTAAACCTTGAGAATTGAACAGATGGATGGATGATAGAGAAGATAGATGAGATATGTAGATATAATGGAATAATTTTTCATTTTAAAAATAGCTATTTCAAAGACAATTTCTTGAAAAGGATACAGTTTCTGTGGTACTGCTCGGGGGGGGGGGTTGTGTATGAGAAGTTCTCAAACGTTCAGCTTGCCCCATGTTGTCTAGAATATTGTACCATCAGATATAAATTGCAATACCCTGCATGTCAGTAAGCCCTACTGAACGCAGTGAGACTTATTTTTAAATATGCATTTCTAGAATTGCAATACTTACCTGTAAATGTGCGGATATTTCTTAAAACTGTAGAAAATATTTAATAGTTATAAATTATTAGTCAGTTTAGTCCAGTAGTTAAGACATCAGGCTAGAAAGTAAGAAACGGTACGTTCAAGTTCTGCCTTAGCCATGACAGATGGATGACCTTGGGCCAGTCATTCTCTCTCTCAGCCCAATTCACTTCAAAGGTTTGTTGTTGTGGGGGGAAATGGGAGGAGGAAGGGTTTTTGCATATGTTCATTGCCTTATATGTGTGAAAATAACAATATACTTTTAAGTTCTTCAAAGACAAAGCAGTGCAAGCACCATGGGAATCAAATAAAACAGAAATAATACGCATTATTATTTATATATTATTTATATCATTATATGCAAATACAGGTCCTCAATGTATGACCACTGTTCGCAGTCACGATGGCACTTAATGAGAGGGGCTTACATAGTTGTGTCCATCACAGCTTTCCCATGGTCATATGAACTACAATTTAGGCACTTGGCAGTCGGCTGTCAATTACAACATTGCAGCATGCCCCAGTCGTGCGTTCACCATTTGTGACTTTCACTGCCAGTTTACAATCAGCAAAGTCAGTGGGGAAACCAGCAAGTCACAAATGGCAATCGTGTGACTGCAAGATGCTAAATCATGCAAGATTTGCCTAACAGTGGCAACTGGGACTGCTGCAACTGCCATTTTAAAATGGCACAGTCATGGTCCCAATTGCCATTATTAAATGGGGATAAATGTATGTATTTTGAGTAAGTATAGCAGGGGTGTCAAAGTGCCGGCCCGCGGGCCAGATGCATCATGGCGAAACGGTGCCCATCCCATTGCCAGCAATGGAAAAATAGTCGCGATACATCGTGACATGTCACATGACATTGTGAGTTTGACACCCCTGAAGTATAGTAAGTGTATGCTGATACATAGAAGAGCACAAAAGATAAATATAAATGTTGCATCCTTTACTCTCCCAGAAGTAGAATCATGCTTTTATGTAGTTGATGCAAGTTTATATAAGCGAAATAATTGAATACTTCTTAATCAAATGCTGGATCATTACATAAATTGCCCTTCCAGATGGGAAAGTTGTTAGAAGAGCTCAAAGTAGCTAGAGAGAATCAGAGTCCTGAGCTGAAACGCTTTTCGTGTCTGGAACGAAAAATAAGACAATTGGAAACCAGTTATGAACAGAGAGAGCAAGAACTGCAGCAGGTAAGAAAACAAGGAATTGTTAATCTTAAAATGTAAATATTTTGAATTTTATAAGCCTTTCAGAATCACAGCAAATATTTTCTGGCTTCAGGATTCTAATCTGTTGTGAAAGCATGCAGATATAATTAATTTGTATAGAAAAATCGTTAAAAATATTATGGGTTTACAGTGATGTGCAATACACTGCTCTTACTGATAGAATTCCTTCTATCAATGTAGTGGAAAAACCATTCTTCCCACTTCCATTCTTCATCTCCCAAGTAGCCCCTAAGTTTGCTTGGGAGCGTTAGGAAAGCTCCCAGGGCAGCCTTGGGAGAAAAAACAAGGGAAAATTGAAGGTTATCAGTATCGCACTTAGTAGTCCCATGGCAGCAAAAAGAGACTGGTTTAATTACAGTCTTCTTCGGTGTCTATGTAATCTATTTCCAGACAGTAAGAAGCGGTCAAATTGTTATTTAAAAGCGCAGCTCGGATGGAGAATGCTGCAAGATCCTTCTGATTCTTTGATTTAATGTAAAGGTTAAAATATTCAGTTATGGATAGCCTGCAGCACTGGATTCTGAAAAAGGAGTAAAGGATTGAATTGTTGCCAAGCTCCTGTGATTCAGCATCTGCGCTTGCAGTAAGGTGGACTATGGCTTCAAAAAGGTGCTTTATTAATCCTCCCCTACCTCCTTAAGGCACGAGAATGAGCGTTTGGACAGAAGGGGATTAAGGCCTTTCCAAATGAGAGGTCAGGAGTCGGGAAAGAAAGCCTCCGTTCCCACGCCTTGCTAGTCCTGGCTCTGCCAACAGAACCAGAGTCTTTTCTCAGTTCTAGCTTCTAACTAAAGAAAACAAATCATTTGTGGCAACTATTATAAATTTGTTAATACACGTCTTCCCCTATCCAATTTTTGTAAGTTCTCTTCACAATGAACAGTCTAGAACAGTGCTTCTCAACGTTTGTGTGACAGCGACCCCCGTCACACAAACGTTCTGCGCATGCGCCGGGCTGCGCGCATGGGGGCAGGGGCCCCACGCATGGCACGCATGCGCGGTGGCGCCCCCATGCACGACGCGCATTCGCGACGCCCCCCCTCGCGTGGCGTGCGTACATGGCGCTCCCCCCATGCGCAACGCGTGTGCGCGGCGCTCCCCCCATGCACGGCGCGCGTGCGCGGCGCTCCATGCATGACGTGCGTGCACGGTGCCGCCCCATGCACGGGGCGCGTGCGTGTGCCCCCCATGCGTGGCGCGCATGCGCGACACCGCGGAAAATGGCGGATCGCCACCTTTGGCGACCCCCGAAAAATGGGCGATCGACCCCAAATGGGGTCGCGACCCATAGGTTGAGAACCGCTGGTCTAGAATTAAGGGCTAAAAGCAATTCAAAGACTGTTTCATAGAATTTTTTGCACGAAGAATTAATTCACAGAATTACTTTTTGGGGCCATTTCACATGTAACCAAGTCGCTATTCTTCTGGAATCAGTGGGCCACCCCATCTTTTTCATTTTACAAAGATACCCGTGGGCAATATCCTTCAGTACGCATGAACTGAATTTATTACAAGTCATAGGTTTCTTTCAGAGAAACATCCGAATAACATACTCTAAGAGTTTACCTCAAACCCCATGGCCTGATACATTGAGTGTATCTGAGGCATCTCCCTTAGTGCAAGAATTTTTTTCAATTAAACTTCGCCATAAGTGCTGTAAATGCTCTTAAGAATAAAACAGATATTGATGAGCATGTGTTTTGAAATAACTCTTCTCATACTGTACAGGTAATACAACAAACAAGATATAATGCAGAAGTCAAACATCTTCAGGAAACAGAGAAATGGAGGAAACTTGCTCTGTTGAAGAATCAAGAACTGGAAAAATTTCGCGTTGAACTAGATTCAATGTTAGACGTTCTACGGCAATTGCAGAAACAAGGTGTTGTTATAACACCAGGTAGCTCAAATATGCCAGAAAATTATTGGAAGATTTAAACATCTGAGTTAATCAGAGACTAAGAGCTCTAATAAAAATAGAAATATGCTGAAATTCCGTAAAGGTACACTGGTTAGTGTTTTTGACTCGGTCCAGATTTCTGCTGTAAAAATGGAGTTGAATCTAGAATTTAAATCTGATTTTTTTTAATCCTTTAAAAAATTTCATATTTTAAAATAAATATATATTTAGTAAATATTTTAGTAGATGTGATTAGATTTTTGTAAACATTACCAATTTCTTAACCTTACCCGAGTTCTGGGAAGCTTGGATAGCAGAGACAGATTGTTCAGCAACTGGAGATGATGAGGCACTGGTCACCATAGGGACAGAAGATAACGGTTGCTTTCACAAGTCTTGCTGTTTTATTTTAGTCAGCAAAAAAAAATGATTTCCAATAATTGCAGTAAAATCTCTGAGGCATAATTTTCATTTCTAAAAATATTTAGTGAAAAAAACCCCTACTCAGTTTTGTAATCTCTAATTAGAGTCTTGTGCAGTGTCGTTAAATGCCTGATATCACAGCTGGGTTAACTGATTGTGGCCTAATCTACTGCCCAATTAGAGCACTTAATGGTGGTATTCTGAATGGATGTGGAGGAAGAATAGAATAATATCTTCCCTTTGTAATTGCATAACCTAGACCAGTGGTTCTCAACCTGTGGGTCGGGACCCCATTTGGGGTCGAAAAACCATTTCACGGGGGTTGCCAAACAAGGTTGTCCGCCATTTTTCCCCCTTTTCTTTGGCCACGCCCCTGGCACCCGGTGATGTATAAGTGGTTGGGGGTCACCACAACATGGGGAACTTATTATGGGGTCGCAGCATTAGAAAGGTTGAGAACCACTGACCTAGACCTTTATGGTCAAAGGCCCACTATGTAAAATTATGTAACTTAATGCAGCTCATTCAAGGTAGAAACAATTATTGCAGTCAAAGTCTACTGAATAGGGGTAAGCAGTTTAAGACTGCTAATATCAAAGGGTCATATTGTTTTTTGCATTCTGAGCAAAGACTAGTTAGCATAAGAATAATTCATAAAATATTCTTGAATCTTATTTGGCTTTTAGGAAATATTTGAAAACTGTTGTGTTGGCTATGTTTTTCAATAACAAAACATCAACTTTCTTTATACCTGCTCTCCTGAGAGACAAATTTTCCCTTTATAGTTCTTTCCCGCTTTGATTATGCTACCTCCACATTCTGATGTTTCATAGCCCTCTCCTTACTTTAATGACCGCATTGTCAGTCTCAGCTGCCAGGTGGTTTTTCTTCAAATGAGAAAGCAGGACTGAGCCTAGAATTTCTTCAGGTTCCTTTAGAACAGGGGTGTCAAACTGCCAGCCCATGGGCTGGATGCGTCATGCCAAAACCGCACCCACCCCATTGCCGGCAATGGAGAAAAAGTCGTGATATGTCACGACACGTCACAACACCCCTGCTTTAGAAGGAACCCCATCCTTGCCCCATCCTGCAATATGGGATGTCCCTCCTAGAGAAAAGCAACCCTCTCCTGTTGCCTCCAATGGTAGAGGAGAAGGAAAGAGAGAGGCAGAAGCCTTCAGGGAGGACATGGCCACTGTCTTTAGAAAAGAAGAATTCTACTCTTCCCCACCCCCTGGTCAATTGGCAAGAGAGATGGAGTAACATGAAGAGATTCATGGAAAGATTCCAGGTAATGCTAACAGCAAGCAGCACTCCCATTAAATGGGAAAGGAATGATATTAAGACTGAAGTATGGCCAGATGGTGTTGATAAATGAAACTCATCCAGTTGTTGCATAGAAGCAATAGCCAACACAAGGTTAGGTGGGAAGTAAGTAGGCTTTTCAGGGTTTAGAAATTGCCTCAGTGACAAGGGGTTCAGTTCAGCAAGCACTTCCAGTGGCTGAAAAATTTTTTGTCAGTGGACTCAAGTTACAGTGGTGATGAGTATGTCATTAAGGGACCTGAAAGAACTGGTTAGGAATAGATTGTCTTGGAGAAAATCTATGCTGTCACTAGGGATTAAAATGATTTACATACATATCAAAGAGCAAATGTGAAATAATCTGTCCTTCTAAGGTATGTTGAATTACAATCTCCCCAAAAATTCTGGCATTCAGACCTATTTGATGTTGAGAGCCAAGTGTGACCATCATCTTTCTGGTCTAGCTACATTCTACATTTGTAATGACTAAATGTGATATATTCCATTATTGATCAGAGTTCTTGGCATGTTATTTAGTCAACGTAAATGCCACATTTCCAAGGCAGTGTCATTGACTCCCACTAGCTTATAGGCTTAGGGCAATTCCACATTGTAGCATTTTGTTTCTTGTCTACCAGGTTGATACCAGCTGGATATGAAGCCAGCCTAACCACTGCGTGGATGTTAAATTTTGGCTAAAATGCCAGCCAGGTGTTCTGTCTGCCCATGGCTTCCTTGGCTCCAATCTTGGGATCCCTGCTTTTTTACCTCCAACACTCAGAAAGCAAGAGCCAGTCACTTTTCATGGGTGGGTCTTTAAAGACAGATGGTTTCTATTTGCATAAGTAAACAATACCCAGCCGTTACAGAATCATACATTTGGGAGGGACTTTCAAGGTCATCTAGTCCAATTTCCTGCTCCTTGCAGGAGTTTCTTGCTCACAATAAGCCATTCATTCCCCCTTAAAGTACCAGTGAGGGGAGGGGAGCCACTCTTATTTTACCATTATTGTCATTTAAGCCAGAAAGGATTCCACTCGGTTTTCAGCTCCACCCAAAGATATACTTCAGCGTTTGGTTAGCAAGACCTGCTAACACAGTGTTTCTCAACCTTGACAATTTTAAGGCATGTGGACTTCAACTCCCAGAATTCCACAGCCAGCAATGCTGGCTGTGGAATTCTGGGAGTTGAAGTCCACATGCCTTAAAATTGTCAAGGTTGAGAAACACTATGCTAACAGAATGTCAACAAGCCAAAAACATAACAGGATTCTAAACTGGAAGTCCAGTATCCTTTGTGATGTTGAGAGAAGGGAGGGGATTGAGGGAGAATTATTCCTCTTATTTGTTTGTTAATTTAATATGCTATCCCTTTTGGCAGCTTAAAATAAAAACATGAAAAATTGGCAAAGAATTTCAATTTTGTTCTTTTCTTATTTTTGTTTTTTTGTGGTTAGGAAAATGTTTGCTTGTTCCTTGCTATACTTGTTCCACAAGAGATTGTACTGTGGGGGGGGAGAGTTAAAAGAGGCATCAGTTAAAAATCATTACATAGCCACAAGAGTGCTGATTTTAGTTGAGAAGTGCATAAACTTTTAACAATAAATCCATTAATTTGAATCTTCATGTATGGATCTGGTTTTTCACACCTGATATTAAATACCCACAGAGGATCCTGCCCTCCTATTCCCACCACCACCAATCACTCCCTGCCTTCTGTCCCTCCGTTTCCTTGCTTTCAGTTCATTGTACATCTCTACCACTTATTTTCACCAATGGAGCTCTGGAAGGAGCAGTTAGTAACAGAAGTTCCTCAAGGATTTTGCTGCAGATGATTTAGGCAATTGAATGCCAGGTCACTTCAAGCTTGGCATTCCAGCTCCACTCTGATGGGATGAACAAGCAAACAAGCAAGGAAATAATCATTATTTCACTTATCTACCAGCAAATGGTTAAAAAGTCAACAATTCACCAACCTGCCAGTAGGGTTAAAGAAAGAGTCCATTTTTCATAGTCCTATTTATCAAAGATGTTGAAGAAACCCATGTATTGTCTGAGAACAGTTCTCAGTTTGACACCCCTGCTATGTTGTAATTATGCATCTAGAGGGTTTCTTAATTCTTTTTTAATAAAAAGTCAAAAGCTGTAGTCCGGAATAAGTACAGTCTTTGTTTTATTGCTCGTAGTTTCATTCTTTTGTTGGGAATATCTGATACAGTATGATGACTGCTAAGCACAGTAACAGACATCCATATATTCCTATAAAGTAGGATATGACTCTAAGACATTGAAAACTAGGATTTCATAAAAACATTTGATCCCATCACATCACAGTACTTTATAAATGCTAGCTTGCTGCAACAATACCTGCTTCTCCAGCATGATTGGATGGAGAATCCACAAATGGGTTGTCTTAATCTTCCTGCTCCAATAAGACTAAGTCTGAAGTGTAAGTACACCTCTGCTGTGCAAGAGCATCCCAGTTTTAGACTTAGTCTCTTGCTCTAAAGATGCGTTTTTGATTACTCAGACTACAGCAGGTTGTATAACCCATTTGTGAAATTTCCTTCCCTTCATCCTGGACTTTAGTTAATATTATTATTAACAAAAACAAGAAAGGAAACCTTTAATTAGTATTTTAGCCTTCTGACAGGAAAGCCTTTCTTGTAGGGATTCCCTGCAGGCAGGTGCCTGCATGAATTGGGATGGCTCTCCCTCCAGAGAGCATTCCTCCCTCATTAACATTCCAAAGACTTTGACAGCAGAAAGTATTGGCCTCGTTAACATTCCAAAGACTTTGAAGAAAGTATTGGCTTTCACAGCTAACCAGTGTGGAGCACAGGCTCTATTTGGGCCACAGGCTACCTTTACACCCACTGCAGCAGGGCTTCATCCCCCTGAACCACAGACACTCGGGCCTGATCTGTTTCAGGCTATGATAACTCAGGCCTTTGCCCAGTTCATGGCCTCATAACGATCTCTACAAGCTCCCGCCGCACCTCCACGATCACTCCTCCCTCCTGGAATGCCAGACTTCACACAGGAGGTTTCCTCGGAATTGGATTCTGCGAACTTCGATCCTTCAGGCCTGCTCCTGTCGGATGATGAGGACGTCTCAACTCCGGACCCCACTCCTCCCGCTGGTCTTTTTGATCAATCCCTCTTCAGCTCCTTGCTGCTGAAGGCCTGCACGACAGCTAACATCACCCTGGAACAGGAGGCCCAGACAACTCCATCTACATCTAAGGACCCCAATCAACTTTATGCTGAACTGGTGGTACCACAAAAGCATGTTCCCTGCCCCCCCTTCCGCAACACAGTACAGAAGCAGTGGGGTAACCTGGGGTCTATCCCCAATCTGGGGATTTCAGAGAAGGGTTTATTTAATGTGGCTCCCTCTTTCGCCTCCTTACTGGAGGTCCCTCAAATTGATGAGCCACTTAACTCTCTTTTTTCCAATACAAATATTCCAGGGGACATGGCCGAAGCGCTTAAGGCAGAGGACAAAAAATTTGAAGCTGCCTTGTGCAGATCACATCAGGCATTGGCTTGGGCAATCAAGGCTTCCATATCCATGGCCTTCTTCGCTCGGGCTTCCGTACTGTGGCTCCGTGAACTCCAGGACATGATCCCTCCTGACCAGGTTCATGTTCACCAGAACCTGGGTAAGTTGGTGGCCACATCCCAGTACATGGCTGACGCCTCCCTCCATGCCGCCAGATACTCTTCGCGAGCCATAGCGACAGACATTTCAGCACATAGACTTTTGTGGCTCAAAAACTGGCGGGTGGACCTAAAGGCTAAGTGGCGCTTGGCTACTAAGCCTTACGCTGGGGGAACCTCTTTGGTGAAGCCGTCAACCCTTACTTGGTTGAGGGCAAGGACAAATGCAAGACTCTTATTAACAATACTAAGAGGGGGGGATAAGCGTTCGGGGGCGGGGCTTCACAGAACTATTATCATAGGCAGTCCTTTCGGCCAGCCTCAAATTGGGACTGGCCCCAGACCTCTCACCCTTTCTACCAGAGATCGGAGCGCCAGCAGGACAGTCCTGTACCCCGGCCACAATTCCAGTCCAAACGGCCCTTTCGAGGCTCAGGAGGACGCCCTTTCAAACGAGGGAAGTGACTCCAGGGACACTCCACCCATGGGAGGTCGGCTGTCTCTTTACTCCGATGTATGGGCAGCCACCACCACGGACTCATGGGTCTTGAACACTATAGCTCAAGGTCTAATGTTGGAGTTTTGGTCCAGTCCACCGGATCACTTCCGGACTTGTCCCACCCCCACCCCCACGAACAAGAACAGAGCGGCTCTCATGTCAGAGGCCATCTCCTACCTGTCACAGATACAGGCCATAGAGCCAGTGCCAGAGGACCAGAAGAGACGGGGGGTTTACTCCACTCTCTTCGTCCCGAAGGCTTCGGGGGGCTGGAAGAAAATTTTAGATTTAAAGAGTCTAAATTACTATCTGATGTACAGGAAGTTCAAGTTGATCTTAGCAAGCATCAGAAGAGGGGACTTCCTGACATCAATAGACCTGACAGAGGCATATTTATATATCCCCATTCTCCCTGGGCATTGCAAATTTCTCAGGTTTTAATAATAATAATAATAATAATAATAATAATAATAATAATAATAATAATAATAATAGTAAAGTTGGAAGGGACCTTGGAGGTCATCTAGTCCAACCCCCTGCTCGGGCAGGAAACCCTACACCATTTCGGACAAATGGCTGTCCAGTCTCTTCTTAAAAACTTCCAGTGTTGGAGCATTTACTGCTTCTGGAGGCAAGCTGTTCCACTGATTAATTGTTCTCACTGTCAGGAAGTTTCTCCTTAGTTCTAGGTTGCTTCTCTCCTTGATTAGTTTCCACCCATTGCTTCTTGTCCTGCCTTCAGGTGCTTTGGAAATGTTTTGTTATGCCCACCAGCACTATCAATACAGGGCCCTCCCATTCGGCCTCTCGTCAGCACCCAGACTATTTATAAAGATACTGGCAGTGCTGGCTGCCCACCTGAGACAGACTCCGATCAGAGTTCAGTGCTATCTGGACGACATACTGATACAGTCCTCCTCCATCCAGAGGGCTCGGTCAGATCTCGCCCTCACTGTCAGGATCTTTCAGGAGCACAGGTTTTCTGTCAATTTTCAGAAAAGTCATACAGTGCCCTCAACCCAGCTCCTGCATCTAGGGGCAGTCATAGACACGAACAATTGCACGGTCTATCTGTCACAGGACCGACAGGACAGCATTCGGGCCCTTGTTCATCGAATTCAGAGAGACAGGATGGTCACCTTAGTCGTGTTGTCACAACTCCTGGGGAAGATGGTGTCCTGTATACAAATCGTTCCGTGGACATGCCTTCATGCCCAGGAGTTGCAGTGGCTTCTACTTCTATTTCAGAGGCTACGCATCAGTGCTTCCAACCAGAAGGTTCGAGTTCCGTGTCTGGCGTTGAACTCCCTTCGATGGTGGGCTTCCCCAGCTATGTCAAGGGGAACGGAGTTCAAGGAGCCAGCCAGAATCACCCTGACCACAGACGCCAGCCTGTTCAGCTGGGGAGCGCATCTCCAGTTGCATTGGGCTCAGGGTCGGTGGTCCCAAGACAAATTGAAAAACAATATAAACTGACTGGAATTCAGAGCCATACATCTGGCCTTACGACATTTCAGCAGCAGGGTTGCGGGACAGCATGTCCTGGTACTTACAGACAACATTGCTGCAAAGGTCCACATGAACAGGCAGGGGGGGACCAGGTCCAGGCCTCTCATGGAGGAGGCCCAATTGTTGGGGTCTTGGGCAGAAATCAATCTTGCTTCCATCAGGGCAGAGCATATATCCAGAGTGGCCAACCAGCAGGTGGACTCATTGAGCAGAGCAACTGTAGACCATGCCAAATGGTGCCTGGACCCAGGATTGTTCCGGGAGATCGTGGACAGGTTTGGCTCCCCAACCTTAGACCTCTTTGCTTCCCCAGCCAACTCCCAACTCCCGAGATTCTTTTCCGTCTCCAACAGCAGAGGGGACGGATGCCCTCCGCAGTCCCTGGCCCAGAGAACTGCTTTACGCTTTTCCTCCCTTACCACTCCTCCCCACAACGATCTGCAAGATCCTACATGAGCGAGCGGAGATCCTCCTGATTGCGCCATATTGGCCGAGATGTCCGTGGTTCGCTAACCTGGTAGAACTCTCCATCTCCCCTCCGTGGAGGATTCCAGCAGGTCATATTACCCTTACTCAGGGGGTACTTCAGCACCTGGACCCACAGTGGCTCCAACTAACCGTTTGGCACATGAGAGGCGGGCCTTGACCTGAGACTCATATTCGTTGAGGGTGATTGTCATGATTCAACAATCCAGGTGCCCCTCAACGAATAGGATCTATGATGCCACATGGCGGAGCTTCTGTACCTAGTGCTCAGGTCGTAAGGTGGAGCTTTCGGACATTTCTGTTCCGATTGTTTTGGAATTCCTGATGGATGGGTTGGACAAGGGACTATCCCCGAGCACCATCTGCAGATAGGTTGCAACTCTATCTACGGTACTCGTGTGACAATTGCGCTCCCTTGGCACACCACCCTACGGTGCATTCCTTTTTAAAGGGAGCAACTAACGCCAGGCGGTTCACTGTTATCCTTCTTGGAACCTAGACCGGGTCTTACAGGCCCTCATTTCACCACCCTTCGAGCCTATTACCACATGTTCACTTAAGCTATTATCTATGAAGGTGGCATTTCTCGTGGCAGTCACATCAGCCAGGCGAATTTCAGAACTGGCCGCTCTCTCCGTCAGAGAGGACCTGTGCATCTTCCCTGCAGACAGGGTGACCCTCAGACTAGACCCTTCCTTTATTCCCAAGATAAATTCTTTGTACCATAGGTCCCAGGAGGTGGTTTTACCAAATTTCTGTCCTAACCCTTCCCATGATCTCAAGAAGCGGTGGCACACTCTTGACGTTCGCAGGACTCGGCAATGTTACATCAAACGGACTTCGGCCTTCCGTAAATCCGAAACATTGTTTGTGTCTTTTCAACCTTCCTCCATGGGTCAGAAGGTCTCTTCCTTGATGATAGGAGATGGATTAGGGTTTGCATCGCCCTCGCATACAAGGCACAATCATTGAGAGTTCCTGGACACATCACGGCCCATTCCATTCATGGCACCACTACTTCGGCGGCCTGGGCGACCTAGGCACGTATTGGGGAGATTTGTAGGGTGGCAACATGGTCCTCGCCTTAGTCCTTTGTTCGGCACTACAGAATTGACAAATATGCCTCCTCAGATGCCTCCTTTGGTCGCAGGGTGGTGCAACATGTATTATTACCCAGTGGGACCCAGGCCCAAACTACTCCCCCCCCCCTTAGGGACACAGGGCTTTGGTATGTCCCATTTGTGGATTCTCCATCCAATCATGCGGGAGAAGGGGCGTTGTCTTACCTGAATGCCTTTTCTCAACATGATGATGGAGAATCCACTCCCTCCCGTCTAAGATCAATTTGGCCTTGATTCCAGTGATAGGAAAGCACAGGAGTCGGACTAACATCTGTGTATCGCCTTAGTCTCAAACTGGGGTGCTCTTGCACAGTAGAGGCGTACTTACACTTCAGACTTAGTCTTATTGGAGCAGGAAGATTAAGACAACCCATTTGTGGATTCTCCATCATCATGTTGAGAAAAGGCGTTCAGGTAAGACAACGCCCCATCAGTGCAGAAGAGTGAATGCAAGCACTTAACCAGGCCTTAAATCAGTAATGGTGTGATTTATTTCCAAATATGACTGCACCCAATTTCTTCAACATTAGATTTTTCTACTCTGTTTAAATTCAGCACATATGTTCTAAGAGAATGTAGAATTTAAAGACTCCAGACAAGTTGATAGAACACTTTTGTTTGTGTAGAGCTTAATAGAATCTCATTGCAACTTCAAACTGGTTTTCTAAAGAAAAAAATGTATAAATGCAAAAACATGGGACCTTAAGAACCCACAGGAAATGCATTCCAAACCAAACCCACGTCATGCACTAAAGCATGTTTCAATAGCCAAAGTCCTGAAACCCATAAAAATAGGATGAGATGGGAATGCAAGAAAAAAAGTATTCTCTTTTCATAGACATCCAAAGAGAGTGATGCTACCAGCTTGCAAGCTTAAACATTTTGCTCAAGTTTCTTTAGTCAAGAATCTGGCAAGAGACTTGACTCACTGGTTTGTTCTCCAAAATGATAGATGGCTCAGAAATTAACAAGTCATCTTCACCCAGAGAATCATAATTCACAAAGTTAGGAATGTTGAATTTTATATGACAGTTCACCTCCTCTTCCAGTCGTCCAGCACTCTCAATTACTTCTTGGAAGTGGATGCTACTGTCCTTAACTGGCACCTTATGACACTGCTTGGTTCTATCCATGTCCTCCAGTTCATTGATGTAGCAATGGAGAAACAGTTGTTGAGAAAAAATTTGCTCAGAATCCAGTGGCTGTTCAAAGTCAGCTACAAAGTTGTTTGTGCAGAGTCTTTTCTCAGAAGAGCTTATACGCCTATGAAACAAAGATAAGAAATTTAGTATAATGTCATTTATGTGCATGGTGTGAAATAGGATATGCCAAAACAGATGTATTAATGTTTGTTAATTAATTGGAATTATTCACTGCCATTCTTCCAGGAACTCATGGTGGCCATATCACATTCTATCAAGGTATTGATTTAGCAGCTAGCCAGCTTGTGTAATGTAAGATTTAAGATGTTATGATGGGAATGAGTCAGCAGGGTCTGTCTCTTTGTATAAGCCTTTGTATAAAGGGAAGGCTCCACTGATGTGTTCTTCTCTTCCGCTTCCTGCTGTAACTGCAGTTTGTTGGATCCTGCTGTATTAGCACATGTATGTATATTGTTCCTGGTGTATGATATTGTAGATAGTGTAAGATAAACCACCATTTAATATAGACCACTGTTTACTGTGTTTACTCCTGGGTTATCTCGCACAATAAGACTGTGCACGCTCTAACACGTTCCCTTCATTTTTCCACTAACAATCCTATGAGGTAGGAGGTCTGCTAAGATGGAGGGATTGGCCCAAAATGTCAGTGAACTTCCATGGTTGAGGATAAACTTAAAGATGCCCTACTTTAACAGTAGTTCCCACTTGACATATACTTATTCAGTGACGGTTCAAAGTTCTGATGATGCTGAATGAGAAGTACTTATAATGGGTCCTTGTAGTTTTGGCTGTTGCAGGGCCCCTGCATGATCACCATTTCCTGATGGCTTCTGACAAAAGTCAGTGGGAAAGCCAGCAAGAAATCATAGATGGAGATCAAGTCTGTGGAACGTTGCAACTGTTCAGTATTTGCCTAATGATGGCAACTGAGATTGCTGGAACTACCATTGTAGAATGGCATGGTCACATGATATGCCTTACAATTGTGCTGCTTAGTTACACAGTTCCCAATCCCAATTACAATTGGTAAGTAAGGACTACCTGGGCACTGAAAATCGATAATATTTCTCGAATATTATCAATAATATTTCTAGAATATTATTGATATTTCTCAAATATTATCAATTTGCAATTCTTAGCGTTCTGAGTGAAAAGTGTCTTTCTTGCTCAGCTCTGCCAACATCAGTAATGTGTTTCAATAAATCCTAATAACCAAGGGCAACTCTTACATTCTCATGTAGAACAAAGTGCATACATTTGTTATGAAATATTTAGATTTAATTGTGAACACGTAGCGTTTCTGGCACTAGCAGTATATTTGGGGGAACTCAGCAGGACTTACTCTTGATGTGGTACTCCTGTCTTGGTCAGCAAGGTCAGCACAAAGAACATAAAAATGACAAACACAGCAAGGCCAACCCAAAATCCAATCACAATGGAATCTATAATGGAGGGAGGGAAAAAAACTGATTTCAAAATGTATATCTTAAAAACTATAATTGAGAAAGAGCAAAAAAGGATTTAAAAATAGCAAACATCCAGCTAAGACTTACATTTGTGAGCTTTGAGATCTTTAAAGGAGACTGGGCCATATTCATAATATTCATATTCCCACGTATAATCAGAATGAGATAATAAGGCATGTTGGGACGTTTTGTTGAAAATATAGTGAGGTTCCATCATCTCCAGCCTGTCAATACATAAATGACATAAGCTTTTGCAGAATAACGCAATCTCAGTGTCAATCTGCTCTATCTACTACTCGCAGTGACTGATAGTCATTCTATCTTATTGCAAAGATTAGGGTTTACCTACCTCTTTCCAGTTTATTGCTAACATAGCTAAAATCGGCAAAGTCTTAGCCACAGAATAGGTGATTCCCAAGGCCAATTTTATGTCCAAAGTGAGATGCAGATCAGTGCTCAACATATAAAATTAAATGCCATTTTCATTCTGAGTTGTGAAGAATTTACATCAGCCTTTCAAACTAGACCAAATCAGAAAAGAGACCATTCACAAATTAATCCTGATAACCTGACAGAAGTTCTCTCCTTTTCTCTTTTGCTGTTTTTTTTTTACTTACAGCTGAATGATGGACTATGCAAAGTTAGATAATTGGGTTTTTTTTTCTACTAGAACAGTGTTTCTCAACCTTGACAATTTTAAGGCATGTGGACTTCAACTCCCAGAATTCCACAGCCAGCCTGCTATACTAGAAGATCATCGAATATTCTAGTTGCAAAGTTGAGCTTCTGAAATTTGATAAGCAATTAGGGGAGGGAGAAAAAAACATAGGTGGAAGGAAGAGGAGAAGCAGAACAGGGCAGATTTTATAAGATTGTCACAGAATATTTGTGCATTCTCATTATCTATTTCACAGTTTTCATCGGAGACAGGTTCAAGTGGAACCCGTTCAAGAGAAGTGTTGGAGAAAAATCTAGAATTATTTTCTTCTCTATAGGCATCTTTCTTCTTTAATACAGCATCACCTCTTTTTGTATCTCAACCATTTCCTTTCATTGATTCCTTATTCCATTTCTCCATATATTAGATGATCTTGTCGTCTTTTCCCAACCTCGTTTTAGCATCTTATAGCAACTTGCCATTTGGGAATAATTACTAGTTGTCTACTTCAATGCTATCTATCAACTCAACTACATCTGAGAAAAATATATGAAGAGCAGATTGGGTCAGAGGGAGTCCTAATATTCTAACAAAATGCATTTTTGCAGAATACAATTAAACCCAAGCAAAGTAAGAATCATCTTATTTTATTGATTTTTTTCACATTTTTGAACCACCCATCTCCCTCAATGCTTCTGACACAGCTTCTTTCATTGCCTATATTGGAAGTGTATGCCCCCAAAGAACGTCAACTAATGATATGCTGCCCTGATACAGGGCCCCTCATACCATCCGATGAAGAAAATCTAAATGACAATTTGCCAGCCTTCCTGCTAAATATCTCTGTGTCGCTGTGGCACAACTATTTTGGAAGATATGCTACACAATGATTTATCAAAATAAATAGAGAAAGGTGTGCCTTCATGTGGCTTGACACTGCTCCTTCAGCAATGCCCATCCATTTAAATAAGAGTCACCGAAGAGGATTTGCTTATGTCTATTAACTCAACCTGTCCATTTCTTTTTCTGCTACATTTGATGGCACTCCATATTTATCCTAGGCCTCATATATATGTGTGTGTGTGTGTGTGTGTGTGTGTGTGTGTGTGTGTGTGTTTCCGCGGATACAAAACAAAATCCTGGTGAGTTAGCATATGAACAATACAGTGTGATAAGGAAGGAGAAGGTGGTAGGAATAAGTCAGAAATTTGCCCTCGTGAAGAATCTATGGATTCTTGCCAAAGAATAATAATCAGGCAGATGAAAAACAGCATTACTCAAAACCAAATAATTAACTATCATGGCAATATCTCATCCACAAGGAGAGGCTGCAGGACAGCTAATAAATTGTTCAGACAGCAAGTAGTAACCTCTTTATTAGCCACAGCTACCACTACAAAAACTGATAGCTGAGCTTAAACTACACTGCAGTACTTCAGATGGGATGGTAGCAGAGCTAGAATGTTAATTCAAAAGGGAAATAAGATTCCCTCTCAGGTGATATGAAGCCACAATTATCCACCTCCCAAATATAATTCAAGTTAACAAAGCATGTCAAAGGTTTTTTTTTTAAGTCTCAGAAATTCACAAATGCCTAAATATTTAAAGGGAATTAAATATATGTAAAAGAAATACATATATTTAGAGCCATCAATAGAAGATAGGCTAAGCAGTGTTTCTCAACCTTAACAATTTTAAGGCATGTGGACTTCAACTCTCAGAATTCCACAGCCAGAAATGCTGGCTGTGGAATTCTGGGAGTTGAAGTCCACATGCCTTAAAATTGTCAAGGTTAAGAAACACTAGGCTAAGGGAAAAGCACTTTGATGATGAAACACCCTATTTTTCTACTATTTTCTTCTATTTTCCATTCAAGTACTGTAACCTATTATATAGGCTAGTCCTATACAAGAATGGACAGTCATCTAGAGCAAGGGTCCTCAAACCCCGGTCCGTGGACCAGCACTGATCAGCGGCATGCCAGAAACCGGTCCGTGCAAACAAGTGAATCCCCATCTACAGGATGCAGGCAGCACGCAAAACCACGCCCCCTCCGGTTCGCAAAAATACCTCTCTCCATGGAACCGGTCCCCGGTGCCCAAAAGATTGGGGACCTCTGATCTAGAGTGCTAGATAACTGTCCCTTCTTTTTCTCCCTCTCTGTTTTTCGTTAATCATTGTCGGCATCCCAAGAAGCATGGCCAAGGTTGAGGGAGTAATTCAGCAACATCAAGAATGTCATTGGTTGCCAATCCTGGCACACCTGTATGAAATCTGTAGTGTTTTCTCTCTTCGTACTGCCTTAGAGAATTAGAAGCATATGGTAGCCAAAGGAAAAGCAATTAAGAACTGATGCATTTGCCAGAACAAGCCAGAGAGGTCGTGGGTTGTTGTTGGTTTTTTAACCTTCAGGATCAGAAATCATATCTGTCAATGACAGTTGCATGAGTGACCGTGGTGGAGTGAAAAAGGAGAGAAGGTAAAGCCTTGTACATTGCATGTAACTACGTAAGGGGCAGAACTTGAAATGTGTCATCATAGTGTGCATTTGATTATTCTGAGCAAATTTTAGCTTTCTGTAGATGTCCCTGATCAGTTGTTATGGGTCAAATGGGAGATACTATCGTCATGTCCCTGCTGTGGAATTCCCACAAGCAAGTTTATCCCATTCTTCTCCATGGGAAATAGGATACCGAGCTGACTTTTGCTCTGATACACAAGGACCTCTTCTGCATTCTTAGAATGAGACTTCTAGGTATTAAGACCAGAACATGTTCAATAAGAAAATACACATTTCTACAACTCTCTTCATGAGAGTTAAATCACAGAGCTGTTTTCTGTTTTGAAATTTCCAATCATAATTCCTTAAAGATCACGTTTTTTTTCTTTTTAAAATACAAAGGGTGTGTGTGTGTGTGTAGTTAACTGCCTTAAAACTGAGGAAGAACTGTGGCTTGTAAAAACAACCTAATTAACGTCTACTTCAGAGTTTCTAAGGAGTATAAGATTAATGAGTGTAATATGGTGGGTGCTTTTTCTAATCCATCTAATTCAGTGTTTCTCAACCTTGACAATTTTAAGGCATGTGGACTTCAACTCCCAGAATTCCACAGCCAGCATTGCTGGCTGTGGAATTCTGGGAGTTGAAGTCCACATGCCTTAAAATTGTCAAGGTTGAGAAACACTGATCTAATTGCTGTGTCCACAGTGTGCACTGTCTCTGCCTCTACTTTCTAAACCAGTGGTTCTCAATCTGTGGGTCGGGACCCCAGTTGGGGTCGAACGACCATTTTACGGGGGTCGCCAAACAATGCAGTCCGCCATTTTTTCCCCCTTTTCCTTAGCTGTGCTATTCCCTTTTATTCTATTGGCTTTTGAAAGCCAATAGAATAGACTCTCTTGAATAGAGTCTAATTCTATTGGCTTTCAAAAGCCAATAGGAATTGTCCAGGCTGTCTCTGCCCTGCTGAGCCCGCCAAAAGTCCCATTCTGCAAATGGTGCTGCACTAGCTGAGTAGTCCTCGACTTACGACCGGTTGGGGGTCGCGGCATTAAAAAGGTTGAGAACTACTGTTCTAAACGGATTTGCTAAATGACCACAGAGCAGGGCAAGTGGCTCATAAAGTATGCCTTGTGGAGGAGTGAGGAACTGATTTGGTGATATTAAAGGCTGGCTCTGGCTTGCTCATTCAGTTCAGCCAACCGGAAGCCAAATATAACAATACCAGGATGAAGTTTTTCCCAAATATTGGCATGTTGAAAAACATCTGATTACTTTGAAAGATCAACTCACTGGCTCAAATATTTGAAATTTCATTTCTTCACAGCATGGCAGTGCAAAGTTTCCTGTTTCTACTTTGATTTTTTTTTATTTAAATTTTATAAAGTTTATTAAAAGGAAGAAATCAAATTAGGCATATACATTGCCTGATGATGATGATGATGATGAGGAGGAGGAGGAGGAGGCAGAGGAGGAGGATGACCAAAAACAACTTCTCCATATGCTATTATATCAACATTATATATATATATATGGAAAATATATACACACACAAATACACACACACACAAGTAAGCAAGGTGAAAAGAGAGATCATTGCTTTATCTGAATGTAGACATTGCAATAATAACATAAGAGAGGATAGAATAAAAAATTCTTCCTAAAATAGCTATACAAAATACAATTACAGAAGCCTTCCTTTTTGAAAGCACTTCTTCCTTTGCAATAAATCATACAATTATGAAAGCATTTCTGCTGAATTTAAGTTTCAGTGATCAAAGTATAAAAAAAGAAAGTCCAGATAACACAGATCATAATAAAACATTTGTGGTAGCTTAGCAATGATGCAGCCCGGTGTATAAAAAACACTTAATGAAAATGTATCTTTCAAATCTCCAAACAAAAAAAAAGAAACCCAACTATTTCGGGAAGGAGGTGCAAAAGAGGGGGGGGGGAGATGGGAGTCAAACCAACCATTAGGGACACAGACTCAATAAAGTCATTTGGTGGCTTCAGTGCATATGCAGCTGGTTGAAGAAAAGAAGGGAAAGTGAAAACTGCTGGCAATTAAATGCTCCAACAGACCAAGACGGAAAGAAAGATCTCATTTATTTGTTTTGCTTCTTAATGAACAACAAATAAAAAAACAAAAACAGAAACACAATCAAAGAGAAGAAAAAATACACATAAAAGTGCTATGGCAAAAAAATGACAATGTACAACCCAAAAAATCAAATATATGCCATTATATGAATAAACAGTTAAAATTTTTATAATATCCATTTGTCTATTGCAAATATTTTTTTCTTAAAAACATGAGACTTGTTGAATAATATTTGCATTAGACAAGCCTGACATATTTAAGAAAAATGGAATCCTAAATAGGTCCTTCAGTAAAGATAATTCTATTTCTGACATTACTGGTCCAACCTTCCAATCACATAGTTATTTAGTGCTCCCACCTGCTTTATTCTGTCCTCTCTGAATTTACACATCAGGTATCTAGTTCCTAGGAATGC